ATGAACCAAAATGCAAGAAAGGACTGAATATTTTGTTTAAGTGAATACTTTGATTATATATTTTTCTGTTTTGATCCATAAATTGTTTCAGTAATACATTTTTTATTGCACATAACCAGAAAACTTTCACACAAAAAAAAAAAAAGAATATTACTAAGAATAGGGTTGCCACCACAACCATTTTCTCTTGTGATTAGATTTTGATGGAGCCAAGTCCAGTCTTGTTAAAGTGCAAAAACATTCTATGCAAAAACTATTTACCTTAAGAGAAAGTATCAAAGTGAAAAACTCTATAAAAAGGTTGTTTCTCATTCTGTTGCTGCTATGTACAAGCTTAGATACAGAACAGGGATGGCAAATACAATGATAGAGAAACGCATTGCATCTGTATTGAGAGAGGAGCTTGTCTGAAGTGTTGCTCTCAGCTCACTTCCTCCGACCTCTCGTCTCTATTCTGGACAATTTGCCTCTTAGCATTTTCTACTTCTCAATTTCTCTTTACTTTTGATGCAGATTTTCTAGCATTGTATTATTCATGAGACTTTCAAGTAGTTTGAGAGCAGCAATGGACCAAAAGTAGTTTGCCAAAAAGACCTGTATTACACTGTAAATCCATAGTGTGAAGAAAGTGCATGCATCTCAAACACTGTATGTATATGTATAGGAAATGGAGAAAACTCAACTGGTTTCTGTCTCTCCCATGATTACGCCCTGAAGTCTCAGGGCCCCGGTCTTCGCTGCAAAACAACGGTACAGCTTTAACACAGACACATTTTCCACACACACTTGCTCTCCTCATCACCTCTAAAGTGTTCAGTGTGTAAGAAGCCATGCTGAAGATCTCATCAAGCATCCAATCAGTGGGTGAATACCAAATGCACTCTCCTCTTGTGATGTGATGATGGTAGGGGGGAAGAAAAGATATATCGAGGGGAGAAAAATCTCTGCATATGCAAATTGGACTTAAAATTTAAATGGATTGGATGATCATAAGCGCATCTTTGACCCTTCGGGTGTTAGCAGTAATAGTGACAGCGTAAAAAGAATATGTGCAGATTAGCCTATTAATATTTATAGATGTAATTGGTGGCTGTGCTTGTTGTTTAGATGTGGTGGTGAAGCCTAATCCAGGTGGGTGCTCTTACCAGCTCTAACAGGGAAATAGGCTGCCATTTTAGGAGGAAGCTGGATATCCTAATAATCATGTAAACTAATACCGTTTGCAAAGAGTATTTCCTTCCTGAGCTCTTGGCCTGTCAGTCATTCAGCAGAATTGCCCGTGTCTGGTCTATGAGCCATTCCAACTCAATGACATGTACCCTCTTCCTCCCCTCAATTTGTACAGAGGACCACACGGGCCCCTCTGGATAGCCCCCTGTACCTACAAGGAGTCTCCACAAGCATCATATGGACCAACCAGACGCTCCGGCACGTGTTCAAACGCAACCTCACCTCCCGCTACTCAAATGTGAACAAAGCACCCCACAGTCTAAAGTGGTTAAACTGTCATTTCAAATTGTCTGGACATTGTGATTACCGGCATGGGAGGAATTATATATTTAGCTTTATGTCTGTGGCTATTTCCTCACCCACACCCTGATCTGTGGGGACTAGTGCCCTCTGTATGATCTGAAGTGACTGGCGCCCTGGATACTACTATCTGTGAAGAGTTAAAGAATCTCCAGGAGACACGCACAATCAAGGGCTGCCAGCTGGAGGAGGGATATCTCTCCAAGCCGCTGGACCTCCAATGACAAGAAAGGGTATCTGTAAAGTCACAAACAAAAGGTCCATCAGGAGGAATATCAGATGTCATAGAGTTCTGAAATGTTTCTGCTGTGTCTTCCCTCATTTTAGGTTTCATAATCAATAATATTAAAAGGAGAAGTTGATGCTGGAGTTTGAAGAAATCACATGTTTTAGCATATGATTGAGAAGCCTTTATTGGCTGGTTTGGATGTCTGAATCTTTGAACTCGAAAATTGTAAAGGCTATTCCAGTGTCTGCCTATACATCTATGTAAATCCAAATAGCATAAGAAAACAAATGGAAATTTCCAATTGGAAAAACAATCTAAAAGAGGAATTTAGTTCATTATCTCACAGAAAAAACCCTACCTCTTTTACACATTGGGGTTTTTCTGACTCTGCTTATTGTTAGGGATCACCAGCAAACTATTTGCACATAAATTGGAAGAATTTTACATTGGATGCAATTCCTCTTACAACCAACCACATTACTGTGACTTGAATGGGCAATAGCAGGCAATAGCAAGGAAACAATAGTTTGCTTGGGAAAGACAATAAATAAACAACATAGTGTGCTCTGAGTGAGACTCCCTTGTGCACTGAAGGCAAAGGTTTACAGACAGTGCCACTGTGACTAGCAACACTGTAGTCAAAGGTGTTCTACTGAAGTCAATCGACAATGAGACTGGATACACAAGTCCCAATGAACTGAACACTGATGGTGTCTTCTCAAAGTCATTGCCTCTGTGAAGAAGATGAACACAGTTCCGCAGTTTGATGGGCGCCTGTTCATCTGCAACCCAATAATCTAAGGCAGGTCTAGTGAAACGCGGCTGAGCTGGGGCTGCCCAGCCAGAGAGGAAGGAAGTGAAGGACTCAGGAAGCGGCGCTCAGAGCTTTCACCAATCATATCCATCATGGAGCAGGCTGGTGGAGGCCGTGTGTGTTTCAGCAGTCAGATCCATCACAGGGCGCTGTCTCCAGGCCCGGCCCGAGGAGCACACGCTCATTAGAGGCTGCTGCTCTGCACTTTAACTAAACATCTTTTCCATAAAATAAATGCTTCCAGGTTACTGTGGCTCTTGGAGAAGCAGGTCGCCCCACCGGTGCTGCCACTCATCTGATCCCAATTACCAGACTGAGGATAGACCCTGTACTTGTGTGTGTGTGTGTGTGTGTGTGTGTGTGTGTGTGTGTGTGTGTGTGTGTGTGTGTGTGTGTGTGTGTGTGTGTGTGTGTGTGTGTGTGTGTGTGTGTGTGTGTGTGTGTGTGTGTCATCATCTGGACTTGAACCTCATGGAGATAACTTGATGTTTAAGTTTTTTGTGATATCATCCTAAGGGGTTTGGATAAAATCAGAGCTGGAGGTTGTGTCTGTCGTAGGACCACCAAACTTGCAATAAAAATCTTATTGGCCTGTCATTCATCCTCTGATACAGGTCATCTAAAGTAACTGATAAAACTCAGGTGATAGTTCTTATGTTAGGGTAGACAATAGGCCTATTAACGCATAGTCTTGACAATTAACTGTAAACTTCAGAGTACTCCTCCCTTCAGAGAGATACTGTATAAGCCAGTTCCTACCTGAGTTGCATCAGAATTGAAGAAGCTACTTGAAATTAGGGAGAGAAATTGATTCACTCTTTTGCCTAATAACAAACATATCCAATTGTTGCTTCTTCTAAATAACTTTAAAACAAATAAATGCTGAACTATCGCTATTATCTCTCCTTTATCTTTTTGGACTATTTCATTGTGTATAGGCATCACGAGTGGAATTGCCAGTTAAAATGAATATTGGACTACCAAAATAATGCACTAAGCACTGTACTATTTAATAATATAATCTTTCCTTAATACTTAGTAAAACCCATGCCATTTTGACATATTAAATAGAATAAAAAATCATCAATAGGCTACTTAAAAGATTTTAGAACAACATAGTTCCTCCATGCAGTACTGTGGTCATAGTTAACTGTCATCTTGGACGCAACAACTACATGGCTGATCAAGTTTATTCTCGTGATTGTGTTTTGTAGTCTTTAACTTAACTAATTGTAGTGCTGTGTGTAGGAGGTAACGTGAGACCTGATTCGTGGATCATCTCGGTAATACTAGTATGTGAGCCTGTGTGTGCTCTGTGTTAAACTCCAGATTTTATTGAATAATTGTTTCCTGATGTTGCACTCTCTTAGAATATTAATTACAAAAAGCTCAAATCATTCTGGTAAGCTGGGGCTCAATAGGAAATTGGGGCCAGGTCTGTCATAGGGGTTAACTCTTGAGGGTCTTACTAGCATATAGCAGCACATGGTGAAAACTTAGTGTTTCAATGCCAATTATGTGACAGTTCTTGTATCACACGATCTATGTTAACCTAACCCTTAAATTCTAACTCATTACTCCATCACTAGTTGTATTGCATTAGAGTATTGTGGCAACAGCCCCATCTAGTGTACTCTTGGTGTTGGTACAAAAATGAAAGAAATTGTAAGTTATTAATTTACCATAAACCTTTAAGTATAGATAAAAATTGCAGTACAAAAATATATTCAGTTAAAATGTCAGGGTCAAGATAGTTTATGCATAATCTATCAGTAATATATCATCTTAATGTTATCATCGCTTTGTGAATAGAAAGGGTATTTCCTTGTTTGACAACAATCAAGGCAGTGTAGCCTACTATAAACCTACTACGGTATATAGGTGACTTCCCTGTTCCTCAATGAGTAACTTAAAACCCTTGTTATTGGATTTGGCCACATGGTGCTCATAAACACTGCAGGGAAACCCACGTATTTAATTACGTGACTCGAGACAAACACACAAAAAGCACGAGGTGTGTGGCTTACTGTCAGTTACATGATATTGTTGTTCAGCCAGCTCTTCATGTTTATTAGAAAATACAAACTAATTAATTCACTAATAAATGTATGACTAAACCTTGCTTATTAAAAACTGTTTGATTGTTTGTCCAAGTATTAATCCTACTTACAAATTCGCTAAAAAAGAATCTTTTGAATTAGAATATTATTATTAAAAGGTTAGTATTTACTAAAACAAAATTAGTTGGCATTGTGTATTATTATAAACCAAGGATTAGCAATGTCACATATACACATGACTAGGATTATATTTTTTATGAAAGACTAGGATCCAGATTTCAGGCATTAGAAGAGGTATTTACAAATACTGATATACTGTTTAAGAATTACTGAAGTTAAATCAGAGGAAATAGTTTACAGAATGCAGTAAAGTCTAAAAGTTTAATTTACTATGCAGTTATTTACAACATAAAAATCTACTACAAAATGAACACTGGTATGAATCCATCCAATCATTTTTATCAGTATTTTTGCCTCTGTATTTGAAGTGTGACTGTTGCTCTTGCTCCGACTATTTCCTTGACTTTAGAGTGCTTTTGACTGGTTGTAATGAGGACTCTGCATCCCCTTCGATCAAACAAAAACCTCTGCAGTGATTCGTCAAAAAGAAGATTTCCTTCTTTGTATCCGTCCACTATCAACAAAGTTCCAATGGTCAGCATATTTCTCAGGTCATTCTCTGTCACCATTTCACAAAGTGATAACTGTGTTGTTATTTCATCTATCAAATTGCTGTTTGTTCTGCTCCCATCAACACAAACAACCAGCTGAAGATGGCTGAGATCAGTGAGGTCAGAAACAGGCTCTTGAGTCCATGAAAAGATGAGCCTATGAATCAGGGTTGTCTTGCCACTTCCTGTCGGCCCCTCAAGTAATAGAGCTTCTCCGCTAGCAGGCACTAGATCATGAAGATTTAGTCTCTGTCCGTCACTGAAAAGGGAAGAATTTAAAAAAAAGACTACAAAAACACATTAACAATAGCGGAAAGAATGGACTATACTGGATATTTTGAAGCAAAGTAACTGATGAAAGAGAGCATGTCAGTCTTTTTATTATGGTTAAGCTTACATGTCGCAAAGTGTAAAGCGTGGGTCATCTATATCCCTGTGGTCTCTCGGCAGGTTTTGGATCCATTTTGTATAATGATCCGTAAGTAAAGTCTTGAGACAACCATTGATGTTAACTGGAATTATGGAATTATGTTATTGCATTATATATCATAATGTATTTATGTATTACTTAAAAAAAACTTACTTTGATTCATTTTAGTTTTTTCTTCATCATCGATTGAATCTTTTTGGTTCACTAAAGAAAAAGTATTTAACATGAGTTGCAGAATTGCGCGGAGCAAGAGAATTTAGCTGAATCATTTCAGAGAATTGTTCTTTTTTAGGAAGTGAGTCATTGTGTTCAGATGACACAACAGTTTATTCCTAAATCCACTTTTATTCTACTGCTTACCGGCAGGCAACGCAAAGGCCCTCCCCAAAGAATCTATAAGGTTTCTGGTGCTGGTACTTCTTAACCCTAACAAGATAAAAGCATTATGTTGAACAGTTCAACCCAACTTCTCAAGGTTCATCATCTTATCAATAACAAATTAATGTATCAAAATGAGTCTACTGAAAAGGTGGATATGTTTAGATAGTCAAACATTGAACACTGTTAAGCTTCTTACAGTATACTGCACTCCTCATACACAGTCATATTGCCCTACACTACAACGTCACACCATATACACATTCCAAATTTCCAAACAGTCATTAGCAGAGATAGATATGAGCAAAATACCCACCAAAATCACATTTATTTTAAATAAGGGGAAAAGTTAAATGTTAGATCACTGTGTTGATAATTCTGTAACCTTGAGTAACCCATGAAGGTGTAAATATCTATCAAGGAAATAACTGCTACATAACCATTAATCATTTCCTGAAGGACCAGTAAAACCCAAGCTTGTACTTAGACTGTTGACTGTTTGTGAGTTGGGTTTTTAAGTTTCAGCTTTCAGTTTTAAGAACTTTTTGAGGACTTTTGCCTATTTTAAAAATATAATATTTAGATTTGAAATTGTTAAGGTCTATGGCAATGGTCCTCACTTGAAATCCATCGATAAGTGGGATAATGTATTCAATAGGTGAAAATATATTACCTTTTTGCTGACATTTGTACACCACAAAAATCAAAATAATGCCAGCCAGAGGCAGAGTTAAACACAATATCACAATGAGGACAGTGTGTTTTCCAGTGGGTACTGGAATATCCTCTGCAAAAAGTCAAAACAACAGCAAGGTTAAACACACACACCCAATATTTCACAACTTTCAAAAACCACAGTGGAAAGAACCAAAAAACTTATTTCACTTTTGTTTAATTTTCCATAATTTGTCATTGCCATATGATTAAAAAAACATGCACAAGTTACAACATAAGCAGTCAATACTGGACCAAAGCCACAGACCATGCTAACTAGAATATGCATGACCAATCTTTTTAGTGTTACTTTACCTGGAATTTGGATGGTTGCTGAGTTGTCCATGAAATTACATGTGTAGTTGTTTTTATCCAATGTGGTCACATTTATTTGAGTAGTGATTTTGAAAAGCTGGTCTACTGTTGTTTCAATGGTTGTAATGGGTTTGATTTCAAATTGGTGCCCATTATGCCATGTGACTTCAGGTTGTGGGTAGCCTTCTGATTGGCAGATCAGTCTCACTTCTCTTTCGGATATTTTACTGATTCTTTTATCAATGCTTTTAAATGGAGCTGTGAAAAACGTAGTTCAGAGACTTACATTTTCATATTTGATATAAACTATACAGATTAATATATGGTGGGACTGGCTTTACTCTGCAGTTCAGAGGTCGAGACCATGCTTGCCTTGCAGGCATTGTGTACACATTATCCTGACATGAGGATTATAAAAGTATTCTAGGGTGTAGGCATTAAAGGTCTAAAATGACTTTTTCAGGGGACTTTTCCTCACCACATATCAAACTGCATCAGTTTGAAACAGGCAATTCGAAATTACTGTCTCTTATGTGATAAGAAAACCTACTCAAATATTCAGCTTCAGAGTAAGACCAAATTGACCTTTTTATCTAACCTGACCAGCAAGATGAATTCTCACGATACTTTCACAACCTCATTATTTTTTACGTATTTTATTATTACTCTATTATTACTGATACAAAGTATACGTCTGCATGGTCTTATCATCCAAACTAAGACTGAAGCAGGTCCCAAAATACATTACTTTGGATAACCAACTTAATAAAAATGTCTAAATCATCTAATAGATTAGAAGTGTGCTCACCAAATACAGATAAAGATAAGGTTTCATAATCTGCTCCAGCCTCAGTTTGCACAAAACACTGATATTTTCCACTGTCACTTATTCTGAGATTGGACACCTGTAGTGAGACAAGATGAATAATTTTATATCTGCATTGAACAAGGTAATTACTTAAGAATATAATTATTACAACAGTAGTGAATATGTAAGCTATGACAGTTGGAGAGAGGGGTATGACAAGGGGTTAAAGGAAGAAAAGGGGTGAAATAAGTGACCAGTCTGTTACCCTGCTGACAAGACCAAAGGAAATACCAGAAACATTTTCCCTGGTAGTTGTTGGGTTGAAAAACTTGTCAGTTTTGCTATAGAATACATGAAGTAAAGTGTGTGCAGGTTGTAACCTGTATTTTTGCCCAGCCTTGCCGTATCTCATCAGTCAAAAGTCTTGCTCTGCCCCGGTAGTCTTGGTGCTGAGTAACTAATTGCTCCACTCCTTTCTCCATGCGGTACACTTCCCGAGCGTCTCCCCTGGGGGGGATCCAGTGCCAGACGACTTTGATTCCTGATAGAGTAGTAGATGACACTTGGAATCTGCATCCCATCACAACATCACCTTTGAATTCAGATTTATATGTGCTTCTATCAACCTCAACAGTAAATAATCCTGCCAGGAAAAGCACACGTGTTATACACTTGTTATCCAAAGACATTGCAATCTATACACTTCTACATATCCTATGACTAGAACACTAGAGCAACCTATCTGAGCACATAACGGATTTGGTTAGCAAAAATATGTCTGTATCGCTGACTCACTACATTTTCTCTTTAAATGATGTCACCATTGTAGTCTTCTTAATCGGGAATAAATGCAAGAAACATTGCATATATTTTTTCCAATTAACCCACCACTGACCTGAAGCAAATGTCGAAAAGACTATTGGCATTAGCCATATGACCCAATTCATGGAAACCTGTTTACAAAAAAGAAGAATAAATGTTATTTTCAGATCAAAATGCTGACAGTGTAGAAGAAAGTTGAAAAGTACTTTATTGTCCTGTAGGGAAATACCTCTGCATTTGACAATTGCATTTGTGTAGTATTAATGGCACACTACTTTGTAACTTTTCTGGTGGATGTTATTTTTTATTTTTTTTGTCATTTATTTTGCAGACCAGTTTAATACCATTTGCATAGCTCCAAGGAGGTAAGCGGATGATGCACCCAGGCCTTTTTACAGCTGAGATCTGTGGAGTGGTGACCCCGCTCACAGAAAGAATGAATGTTCTAATAAATGCAAGACAAAAATACAATGCCATACTGTGGAATATTTCAGACAAAGGGGGGGAAAAAATGCATATTGTATTTATATGCAACTTATATGCCCTGCTATTTACGGATAAAATGCAGATGGAAAAAAAAACAAGCTTCTTTTATAAATACACTCTAAGAGCCAATACCATATAATTAGCAATAAATCACACAAAGAGGCTACATAGCTTATTAAAACTAATACGTTAATAAATGCCTTTCGCCCATTCATACAGAACAGCAAATAGCGTCATTCTAATATCTAAACAAGTACTAGTATCTACAAGACTAACGCAGCGTGCTCATCAAAATGAACTAATAAGCCCTGGTTAGGTAACACAAATATATCCAATAAACAGAAAATAATATGAGGCTTGGTCCCTTACCATATAGTGAGAGGATGGCTTTGCATTAACAATTTCCTAGATCCTTGCTCTGGCGTGTGGCAAATTTTCAAGCTGCTCCTCATTTATGAAGCGACTTGAGCTCTAGGGGAATTTGTGTCTGTGGTGTTTTCGTTTCCAGCACTAGGGGGGAGCCTTTTACGGAAGAGCCTGGTCATTTACAGTAACGGAAGGAACGTGTTTTCACGCGCTCTAGGCTACATCATTGTCTCTCTTTTGGATTACAGTGTATTCTTGCTTGATGTAACAGGCACATTGTCAGTACGGTAATAACCGATGAATTCTTCTCAAGAGAAATATAGTTTCTCCGGGAATTTTAAGAGCGACGTCACATGGTCCACACGCGCTGGAGTCCATACTCAGAAAATGGACCCACCTGGACAACTTAAAAATTGTCTTACTCTAAACCAGGAGTAACCAAACTTCTTTCATGGAGGGTCGCATATACCACGTGGGGGCCATAGTGGTCAATACAGTGAATTGTTAAAAACGTACCTTTAATCTGAAGTTTTAAAATGCCACCACAACTTAATTCTGACTTAGAACCCAATATCAGGTCTGTCTCAAATCAAAAATTGTTAATTACTTAAGTTATAATGGTCGACAATTTAAAACTAGCAATAAATCCCAGGATAATTTGAGTTTGAGAGACAAGAAACATTGTCCTGATGGCCAGTTTCTCTCCAGCCCATAGTTTTGACACTCCTGCTTTAAACAGTTCAGGGGGGTAGCTTGCTTTTCTTTGACATTAGCCTGCATTCTTTTGGCATTTTATTTTTATTATAGTTATAGCCTGGTAAAAAATAATGTGATCATTCATGTCTGAATATCTCTAGCCTAAATGAAAACCAAAATCAGAGTTGTTTTGTAAACATAATAAAACAGATGTAGCCCCAAACATTGGAGGAGATTAAAATGACTGGGCCCCAAAGTGGACAAAATAGGCTACTGTGACATCATCACTTTAGATCTAAACCTGGGGCCCAATGACTCTATAGGCCTATATAGTATATTATTTGTGCACCCCCTAAGGTGGTGCTCATGTGCCGTGGCGTGGCCATATGGTTGGCTATCAATGGACTAAAGGCAAAGACTAAAGACTAAAGAGTTTGTGTGATGAGCTTTAAACATAAGACTGCCCATGGGCTAGAATTGGAGGTCTAAAGGCTCATTTTGTTGTTGGTCTTCAAATCAATTTCAAAACAACATAATGCAAATGTGCTGGATGTTTACTGTCGAGTGTTCATCTGACTTTTCCCTTTCTGACAGGTGTGGGTTTTTGAAGGAAATAAAGGTGGAAAGCCCTTGGAATTTAGTTTGATCAAAACAGACAGTTTGGAATTATTTTCCGATCGGTCTAGGCTTTGTTTAGATGGGAAAACCCATTAGCCTATGGGCTAAATTATTTGAATGACGCTATCATCTACAGTAATTAGACCTTCAATTGATTTAGTTGGCCATCATAGCTTTGGTTCAGTTAACTCCCTAAATGGAACCATTAACACTTGTATTGATCACAGGCTCCTGAAAATGTGTTTAAATCAATTTTGTATTTTTTCTTGAGTTTTCTTATTTAGATATTAAAATTTTTGCTACAGTGTTTGCTAATCTGTGGGTTGCACCTCCTAACTGCTGAACATTCCACCAGAGATAGATATAGAAAACCCCAAGCATGATGTCACTGCAAAGGGAGAGACTGAGAATGTTGTCAGACTTTTGTCATTCCTGTATCTATCACTGAAGTTGAACACAACATAAATGTAAAATGTACACCAAACAAAACAGGCATCTCAGCTAGGTTATTTTTGTCTTAATTCTATCTGTCCATCTTGTACATACCCAGAGTTGTAAGAGTTCAGTACGAGGTTGAATGGCTGTGACAGCATGCCCTATTATGAGGTACGTTGTCCAGCACTCATTTTCATCAATCATTTTGACAACTAAAATGAATGTTAAAATTGTATTTTCAAGCTTCATGGTGTACACTAATTGTTTATACAAACAGGTTTCATTGAAGTAATGTGATTAATGTAATACGAGCTATTCCAACTAAACCCTGTAAACTGGGTTTTACTGCTCCCAGTGTCACTAGAGAAATCTGCTTATTCATATGTGAACATTATTGACTGATTTTAGTGATGCTTTTGTTTTTAAAGGGGGTTTAACTATGGGACAACTTACCCTTCTGTCAGTTTCATTGATGTTTACAAGAAAGTTATATGTATTTACTACATTAGTTAAATTTCTCAGAAAATTATTTTAAAAATTTGCATGTAAAATTTACTTGCAACTATGAAAAATGCTTTTCTGGAGTTACAGTAACTCTCAGAAGCCAAACAAAGATCAACTGAGTCCATATTCAGGACACAATTGCAGACCCTAAAACACACACAAAACTGCTATTTTACTAAAAATCTGTGTGACAGCTTGCGCACTGTGAATACATTCCCGTTCTCCCTATCAAGAACTTTCAGTGAAACTGATCAGATGAAAGTCACTGTAGCCACAGCCCAGAGGAGGGCCCCTGGAAGGTCTGGGGCAAGTTATCAGTGGTTATCTTGGTACGAGTAATTTAGAGTAAATCAGCATTACAATTTATTAGCAAGAAAAGCTGTAGCCTATTTGATGTGATTTGGTCTGGCGACACAGATAGGCCATGCTTATGTTTAAAATCAAAATCTGATATACAGTACCTTTTAATATCGACCTATCCAAGCCTATCCAACCAACAGCCAGTAGATGGAGCTACTTATCTTCGAATCATTGACTACAAAGGCTCACAATCTAGGTAACTAGAAAACGAAAAGGACTATTAAACAAAGTGGTAAACTTAATTATATTTAATGACATGATTATTAACAATGCCTGATTTATATATCAATAACCATTACTATTTATTTCCCCATAGAAAAACAGGTGGCGTTGCGGGCTTTTAACGCTGGTGTACCTTCGCCCAAACTCAGCGAAGAAGCCCATGTGGCGCGTGCATGTGTGTAACTGTCTAACTGAGTGTAGCTGAGTAAAAGTGTGTGTAAGTGTGTGTAAGTGTGTGTAAGTGTGTGTAAGTGTGTGTAAGTGTGCATCCTGTATGTGTGTGTCTGCCCAGGAGACGTCCTTGAATCACCCTGGGTTCACGAACCTGTATTGTTTTTAGCCTATATTCTCTTGGTATGTATTTTGTATGCATTTTTGATATGTAGCGAATCAGTGTTAACCAGAAGCCAGCTAATGTTAGCCCAAGTCCCGAAGCTAAAATCCTGGTAGCCTACATGCAAAGAAACAGAAAAGACTGTTTTGCTTTAATGTTATGTTTCATTATTTACCTTATTCCGGAAGTTGCTGTGGGCGCCGCCATTATTATTCGGGTTGTATTGTTTTGTATGGGACTGCCGATGTAGTTCTGTATTTCACGTGAAATGTCATTTGATGTAGGGCAGACCGACATTGCAGTTTTTGTTTTTTCAGATCAGAACAAAATGTAAAACGTAAAGATTTCTCCAAGTTACTCATACAAACAGAACACAATGTAGCCCCATTAAATCACTTGCTGTAATCCTTATTTAATTAGGTTTAGTTGTGTCATGTTATTTTTAATTACCATAAAAATTCCTGCTTGATGGCATAGGTCTAGTAACCTATACATAAACTTCATAAAGACACACCGGCATTATTGCTTCTTCACACCATTTCTGTGAATAAATGTTAAGAAACGGCAGACGGTTGTAAACTCATTTGAAATAATGCTCTGCTCTTTGTAAACAACAGGAGACTTGAGACATCATGGGGTTCCTGCTTTCTAAGTCTATGGAAACAAACCTTCAAAAGCAGCAGGAATTCATGCTCCATAATGCCCGGTTACAGGTATGTGTTTTATACATTTTTTCTTTGTAGTCTACTTATCATCATCTTTGTAAGTCCTTGTACTAATATGCCCTCAGCCTTTAGCGGTTGTTACAATTGCAGGCCTAGTAGAGTAGAGTACTTTGTTTGTATCCATCCCATCAGACAAACTAGATACACACAAAGATTATAGTATGCATAGTATTGAAAGACTTGTCTTGGATACTTCAGATGTATGTCTTCATTCTTCTGTGTGTAAAAACTTGACCTGCAGCCTTACTCATTTATTCATGTTTTATTGTCCTCATTATTTTTCTACTGTTTCCTTATCTCATTTTTGGAGCCAGTTAATTGTGATTTATCTGAGCCCCGTAGCTCCTGAGCAGCAGCTGGGATGTGTGACTGCCATAACACCAATCACATTATCTGACTTCCCCAAAGAAGTTTACATGTTGTTGTGCCTTGATTCCCTCTCTGCTACCAGCTGTAAAATGTTGCACATTGTGTGTAACGGCCCGCTCATATGAAAAACGTGGGTTATACACAAATCACAAATGAGGATCATTACCAATTCTAAAATTATATCAGGCATTTATTCCAGCATAACAAACCAGATGAGTCATATCACACCACAAAAGTATCATATTGGACAAACCTCATTGCCTTGTAGTGGTCAATGGGGATGTGTTGATGTGGCTGGTTGAGACAAAACAGTCATCTAACATAAATGTCGGTCACTGTTCAACTGCCACACTGTACCTACCCATTATGTGACAGCTGCCAAATTAAGAAAATAAACACTGGTGTATTTAAAAAAAAAAGAATTGTGATTTTTCTAACAAGTATTGTGACTGTGAATAAATGATTAATTAAAATCATAACTCTGTGTGTCATGCAACCCTACTTTACTGCTTGTTGACAGGGTGGTATACCACTGATATTTTTAACATCACTGAATTTCTATTCTCAAAACTGCCCCTTTTGAAATGGTTTAGGACATATTTTCCATGCATTAAGATGTCACAGATAATTACTTTTCAGAGTAAGTGACACCAGTCAAAACCTCATCTTCACTATTTTGTTCATAGAACCCATCTGCACCCATCTGATTTAAATAGCAATTAACATGTGAACATTAATGGAAGCTTTTGATTCATACATTTTGACGTCAACTGAATACTTTTTTTTTTTTTTTTACCTATTCAATTACATGCACTGCCCACTTGCCTGTCGTGGTCTGTGACTTATAATTAGTTCAACATTGTGAACCAGCCAATAATGGTTCAAGTCAAATCTATTAAATAAAATGTTATATTGCTGTATTGTTTGTATTTTTATTTTATTGTTAAAAGTACCAGTTACATGGCTTAAGATCCTGAATCTCTAATAAGTTAATAATTATTATTCACTGCATATCTCAATTAAAACAAATAAATTTGTTTGCCTATTGAAATATAGATATTCTAATTCAAAGTAGAGATAAAAACGGTAGCAATTATTTGAAAAGGTAAAATAATATGGTATTTGTTTAATAATATTGATTTATCTTTTTTCCAAATCATTACAAAATGCAGTGAATTAATCTTTTTCTTAATTAACATAAAAATAAAGTATAATGTTTTAATTGGCTTTAAACACTGGATTTGCATAGTGCTTTTGAAGTGGGCCTAGTTAAATGAATTACACTCTCCACAATCAGTCTAACAGCAGGTATTGAACACTTGCTAGGTTAGTTTAGAGTGCTTAATTGCTGCAAATGGCTTTTACAGTACTTAAACCTGCCAGTGACTCCTTTCTCTCAGACTGGATCCCACTCGCTGCTCAGTTTTCTTAAATTCAGGCATATCTTTGCTATAAAAGGAAAATTAGTCATGTACTTATGTCATGTAACGTTCTAACTTAAGTATTACCACCATTGTGCTTTGATACGTCATCTTTTAAGTGCATTGTCAAAAGTATATGATTAGAACCGGATTTTGTACTATTTGTACAATTAACATTTATGCTTCTTTTGTATACTTTTCTTCTTGTACAACACAATCTCTATGAAAGTGTTGGAAGAAAATTGCATTCAGTAAATTGAAAATTTAATTAAATAAATACGCATTTTGGTCAATGAAGATCATTTGGAATGAATATAATGACTTGTATTTTTGATTGAATTATGTTGAATGTTCAGTCATTACTGAATTGTTTCTAATGACAGATAGTGGCATCTACTTTTCTTTGACATGCTGCTATTATGATGCCATTCATTTTTGTCATTGTCATGCTTAATGGCCTTGGGGCATTTTACTTCAACTTTTGTGCTTGGATTCAGTTTCCTTTTCCTTTTCCTCAAATAAAAGCTCCTCTCTGACACGTTCCCTTTTCAAGAACAAAGGCTTTTAAAATGAAAATGTCACTCAAATGGCTCTATAGGAATCGGAATGCACAATGTCCCAAGTCTGTAAGACAGGAAATGGAGGATAAAAGTCTTATTCAAAGGCCAGGTGAACAAGCAAACTCAAATCTGTCATGTCTTTATGTGTGCTTGCATACTTAGATGGAGCGTCAGATCATGATGCAAAACCAGATGAGAGAGCGGCAGATGGCGATGCAGATTGCCTGGTCCAGAGAGTTTCTCAAATACTTTGGCACGTTCTTTAGTGTGGCCTCATTGGGTCTCTGTGTTGGGTGAGTGCATTTTATATATGAACTGAAGTTGATCTGATTATAACAGATATGCATCTGTATTGTACTTCAGAAATGAAGAAAAACTGACACGACATATTCACTGAACTGTTAGCTTGACCTTAAATGGATCACACACTTGCTCAGTGGCCTTCTCTGGTGTAGTTCTGTGTGGCATTTCACATAAATTGTAACAGACCATTTGTCAGTAGAGATGAAAAAGTGTGGAATATTTCCAATAAATTTCTGTATCATGTAATTTAATAAAAACTAAAAGTAAAAAAATCTCAATGGGCTTATAAAAAACAAAAACATTAATAATAACTATTATTGAACCAATAATTATTTCATTGGAAGGCTTCCCTGGTGTCCTGAAACAAGGCAGCCAGTTTGGATCTAATTGCTGACCTTTGGCTTGGTGGGCAAAAGTGCTAACCACTGAGCTACTGCCGCCCAGTGATGTTACATTTCAATGTCCACAATTAGTAATTAAGTACTTTTTTTTCTTTTTCATGCGCAGTGCCATAAAGAAAAGAAAGCCAGTGCTCTTGGGTCCCATCGTTCCTCTTGGTTTTATCTTTGCTTACCAGCTGGACATGGCCTATGGAACACTTGTTCATCGAATGAGAGGTAAGACAGTCATGCTTTTGTAATACAAGACACCAACTTTCCCCCACTAAAATAAGAAAAAAATAAACCATGAAAATATTTTCTTATCTTGACTAATTTGTGTTTTAACTTCTCTGGGTGCACTTGAAGAGGAGGCAGAAAGCATCATGGCATCTGAGGGCGATCGATTGGATTTACCTCTTGGTATTCCAACATTTGAGAGCATAGAGAAAGCTCGCCGTGCTAAAAACACACTCACCTCCTTTTTGGAGAAATAATGTTTGTTTATACTTCTGCTTCTTTTTGGAAATGTCATGTATTGAATACAAATTTGCACTAATTGTAAAAGAGAACAATGCACTATATGTCACAGTGACACAGTGTTTTACTAAGCAGATCATACCAACATTAATGGATGTCTAGTTGAGAAAATAATATATTATCAATAAATCTGCTTTTTTATGTTTTCATTGTCAGTTTCATTACAGTCAGTTGTCATGTGCCGACTGTTCATATGTTTGTTGGAATTTCAACCTTAAACTTCACAACTTAATTTTTGTCGTCACTTTCTCTCTACCAACTGAGACGGTTTTTGATTAAAGCGTGTTCTCTCAGATTTCACATGAAAATATTCTTCTAATAATACTACAACAAAGAAATGACTTGAACTACGTCACAACCATTAATCAAACTGACGTACATATGGGGGGTGTGAGGAGTTACCAATCAGCTGGAGCCTTGGGACTATATAAGGAGGTCATTCACAAGTCAAAAAATACAGAAAGCCAAAGACTTCAGACCTTAAGAAAACCGCAACGGTAGAAAAGGGAGTTCAAAGGAAACCAAAGAGCCTGAGCCTGAGATTTGTGGAGCAGCACACACCAGCCCAGTGTGTAGATGATGGTGAAGATGGCGTGGCGGCTGACTCTTGCCGTGGCTGTGGTGTGTGTCGGCAGTGTGTGCAGCAGTGGACAGGTCGATTTAATGAGCAGACTGCTTATGCAGAGGGACTACGGGGTCAAACTGTGTGGCCGAGAGTTCATTAGAGCAGTAATCTTCACTTGTGGGGGATCCCGCTGGAGGCGCTCCACTAACGATGACCTTGGTGAGTAAAAAGAAATAAGCAAAATTTTATGTGTTTCTTTTTTTTTTATAAATTAAAAAAAAAATTATAAATATGTAAATAAAATGGAATAAAAACATTCTGTAATCGTCTATTAATATTGTTTTACAGAAAATCAGCAGTGGGAGAGCGACCATGATGCTACAGAGGATGATAACCAGCAGAGCTTATCACATGTTTCTGAGTTTACAGACACTCGGGCTCCTCTCCACAGCTCCCAGTCTCTCTCTTTGGCCGACCTCTTGGCCATTTATGGTGCTTTAGGAGAGAGGCAGCCTCAACATCAGCAGCAATTCCTCAAAGAACCCAACCCACTGGAGAAACCCCAAGCCTCCTCATTTTTAGGGGAACAGGTTGTGACTTCCCTCACAGATAACTGGCCTGTGTCCAATAAGAAGAAGAGGAACTTTTCTCTAGGCGTGGCAGGCATGTGCTGTAACCAAGGATGCACCAAAAACGATATAGGACGTTTATGTTGAAGACAAGTGACTGCATTTAGTATGAGTGATGTGATGGGTTTGTATGAGAAGGCTTTCTATTCATTGACAAATCTTTCAGTTCTTAGTCGTAACCACTGTTTATCATGTCACCAATCTGAAAGCAGATGTTTCAGGACAGAAACTTACAAAATTTTTAATTTGTCGCTAAGGTATGAGAATTTTTTGCATCTGTGCTTTGTGTATTTGCTCAGAAATTATAAATAAAGTGTCCCATCACTTCACTCTCATGTCTTTACTTGTTTGACCAGTTCTCTTAACAGCGCCTTTTTAAGTTATGGCAAGGTTATGTCATAGTCAGCTTTTTACTTAAACACAAACTGTATTTTTTTTTTTATTCATAAAAAGTATCCAAAGTCTTGCCTGTGCACATATTGTCACATCTCATTGTCATTTGTCACAACATTTAACTTTCCTGGCAATACTGTCAACGCCCTTAGACCTGAAACAGATCACTAGACTGGTTTGCCTGACCCAGTTAGTACTGAATGGATTAAAGAATACACAAGCATAGGACTGCCAAGCATACATGTATTTACGCAGTCATTTTGTATGGCAATGCTAAAATACTTTCCAAATTTGTATTTACAGGAATGCACTGTAGAAATCAAATTTTTCACAATATTCAGTACAGAAAAACAAAAAAAAACCACTTAAATATGCACTGAGTAACTTTTCTGGTGGAAGGTCTGATGCCTGTCTCCATAGAGATGTCATCATTTGCCTAGACCGTCAACAGTATGATATTACACATATTCATATTCATGTAAACAAGCAGGTGGTGTCATAAGGCCAAGTTCCATATCAGATCTGTGGAGAGTGAGAATGCATGTTTTTCAAGGTATTTTGAGCAATAAAAACGCCTGCAATGAAATGAATGCTAGACAAGTTTATTCGCGTAAAGTAACACATTCTCCACCTGGAAAGTAAGACAGTGGACTTTAAATGAGCATACACTTCATAATAACATACCATTATGACCCTAAATTTGTACAAATATATAACGCATATCTCAAAAATATATTTACAGTATATTCACAAAACCTTTTTAAAACATTTTAACTTATAATTTTTCCAGCAAAATCTGCCATACATTCACTTGACTGTGTGTCTGAAATCCCTCTGGCCTAATGTCTGATATTTAAAACAAATGTACAAATAAACAAAATTACTGTTACTTCAAAAGAAGTTATGTTGTTTAACTGGCAACACCCACTAATAATTTACATATTTTTCACAGCTGTTTTGCAGGCACTCTTCAAATCACATCACATTTACTTTGCATATCACATTTCAACAATACATAGACACACAACTAAATTACATTTTTTATTAATTTTTTTTTTTTAAGAAAATATAGAAATGGTAAAGTACTAAACCTATCTATTACAATATTTGCACTTATACCTTATACCTATATTATTTTAGCCATTTTATTCATTACATTTGTCAGACAATGAAGTAATATAATAACTAGTCAAACCATACCACTTTTGACACCCTTTTCCTTGAATGCTTCAACTGTCCAATCAGTGACATTCACAAATCCTGAACTGACTCGAGGCTCTCCACACTTAAAGGCCAAAGGTTGGTCAATGATTATTGCTGTCTCTTACACTTTCTACATTGTGCATTAAAGTCTTAAATGTAGGGCGCTTTGTGGGGTCACTGCTCCAGCACTCGATCATCATTTTGTGAATCTGTAAGAGTGAGTGAGAAAGACAGTTGTTATAGTTATAATCTTTAGAGTAAATAAGCAATGTAAGGACTACAAGACCTCTTTGGGGCAATTGTCTGGAGCTGGCAGCCTGAAGTCTTTATTCAGCAAATCTATTAAATGGTACACAATCATCTGGCCTTGCTTTTCTTTTCCCATTTTCTCCATGAATACCTGTTGAGAATATACTTCAAGTTTACCACAAATAAATAAATACATTAATTAAAACAACAGATGAAAGAGATGCCATACTGCTGGGGGACTGCAGTTCTTGTCACTGTAGGTAAAAAGTTCATAGAGAACTACGCCAAAGCTCCACACGTCTGATGCCACAGAAAACTTGCTTTGTGTCAGTGATTCTGGAGCATACCTAGCCAGACAGGACATTTAGCTAATGCATATAATATATATACACACACATATATATATATATATATATACCTTTAATGAATCAAATGCAGTCTTAATTTGCTCACCAGAAAATGGGACTTTCACCAGGTTCTCTGACAGTGTAGTACTCTTTGTCTTGCGGCAACATTTTTGTGAGTCCAAAATCACCAATCTTTACTCTCATCTCACTCTCAACCAGGATATTTCGGGTTGCCAGATCTCTGTGGATGTAGCGCTTCATGGCAAGGTAGTCCATACCCTGGGAATGTACAAATTAATGAGCTATACAAGTCAAGATATTAGGGATGCGGCAAAATTTTGTTTCACAACATCTTGCAAGATAAAATTGCTACAAGATAGTGTGCACATTAATTTGTTTTCTTGAACCAAAATGAGTTAACTTGGATGAGCTGCACCTCAGAAGCTGTAGTTCCAAAAGGAGTGCTATGACAATCACAGCAAATGTATAAAATACATTTTTATGCTGTATTTACAACTTTTGTTACCTTGCAAATTTGAGAGGCATAGTGCAGAAGTTTGTTGGTATCAATGTGATCTTTATTTTTGATGAGGTAATCTCTCAGGCTTCCATAAGGGAGATATTCCATAATAAGACGGAGATTTCTTCTACCTAAAATAGACCAGACAAATGATTTTGACTGAATACAGTATTGAGCAATAGATCAAATACTTTAAAGGCTGTTTGTACCTGCACTGTAACAGACTCCTTTATATTTGACGATATTCTCATGTTGGAGAGATTTGAGTATGTCTATCTCCCGCTCAAAGTCTCTCAGGTGTTCTGCTGTGCTGTGCTGCAGTTTTTTCACTGCTACCACTTCTCCTGTGCTGTCCTGTAATGGGTCATACCTGCACATCTCCACACTGCCAAAATTACCCTGGATCAAACATAAGGCTCATTCAGTTAACCCAGAGTGGAAAAGTACATATTGGATTTTCTGATGGAACTTATCTCACTTTGCCCAGCTGTTTGAGAAAAATAAGGTGTCTTTCTTCAAACTGGGCAGGTTCCTGGTTGTCACAAGTCCAAGGAAAGCCAAATGCTCGCGTTCTATTGGGCACCATGTCACTCTCCACAAGCAGTTCATAGTCTGGAAAGTTACAATAATTTTTCACATTTACATTTACACTTTTCTAAAATATACTGTAGTTATTGTGTATAACCTGGGGTAAAGAGAGAGTTAAGGTCTCTGATAACTGCCTTGAAGGATGGCCTGTGTGAAGCTTCATAGTCCATGCAGTTGTTAATGAGATTGGCCAGTTCTGTCCACTTTGGTGCAGGCAGCTGATGTCTGTCTTCATAAAACAGGTTTTTCTGCAAAACAAAACGCAACCTCCAATGGTCTATTTGACTTGACAGAAAATATGAATAAGTAATAGAGTGATGAAGACCTTGAAGCTGTCTAGAGTGCTCAGAGGTTTTTCCCCACCACTGCAAATTTCCCATAGAGTGGTCCCAAATGCCCACTTGTCTGTGGCCAAACTGAGATTCTGGGAGTTTTCAATGCATTCTGGAGGCACCCATGGGATACGTTCCACTAGGACTGAGGATAAAAAACAAATTAAGAAACCAAAGTTGTGCACTTCCTTTTATAAAATGAAACATACATATGTACATAGGCAAACAATACCATTCCCAATAATGGCATACTGATACAACACCATATTTTGTAGCTGTAGCTTTCTCACCTTCTTTGGCCAGCACTGTGATACTGATCCCGGGATCAGACAGCTTGATGAAGGGAAGACTCCCTGATTTCCTATCCTCTTCTCGGATCAAGAGAACATTTTTAGCACAAACGTTTCCATGTATGAGGCTCTTGTTCTCCTGTGTGCATTAAGAAAAAATAAAAAGTCTACACCATGCTAACAAACTAATACTAATTTCTGAATTCTTACCAGGTAATGCATAGCCCAAGCCAGCTGTTTGGCCACCTCGAGCTTCCAGGTAATATTCACACTGCTTTTATTCTTTTTCAAGTAGATATCCAATGAGCCAAACTTGCCATACTCCTGTACCATCATGTCTAAAAGAGAAACAAAAAATAAAGCTGTCAATACCGTTGGAGTCTATTTACCACTACAAATTTGAAATAGAAATAACTCCAGACTAATTATATTGAAACTTCATATCTTCTTTTGGTTCAAATATATTCCTTATTACTCATTAACCTAAAATAGAGAATCACTTAAAAGGACCTCTCTAGGGTTTAATCTGTATAGTAAGGGCTGAAAACCATCAAAAAGGTCAGCAACCCTTTTCCTCCGTCCTCCGTGCTTCCTGCGGTCAATTGAGGAGAGTCTTTAGGTTGTGATGCTAGTTGCTACACAACTGGTCTACTGACATCAGCATTTGCGTATTTCAGAAACTTACTCTCATCTCCACAAACGCACACACCATAGATGAGGAGAAGATGCTTATGGGACAATTGACTCATCATGCTGGCTGCTTCGTAGAATGACTGTGAAAGAATAAACCAAAAAAATGTTAGTCACTACTGTCTTACTATTACTGTCAAATAATATATTTTGTAATGGATAGCTCACCTCTGAGTAGTTGCGTTGAGCCTTATCCAGGATCTTAATAACAACGTCTATTTTATGAACTTCTCCGTAGTCTCCCAGCTCCTTACGAACTCCACAGAAAATTTTGGTGAAAGTCCCTTGGCCCAAGCTCTTACTCTGGGGAGGTACATTGTGAGGTCAAAGGTCAATCATGGAGAAGCGCAAGATTTAGCAGACACATCGTTAAAGATAATTAGTGGTTGGCCAATTAAATGAGTTATTTGGTATGAAGTGTCTCAGGGGAAGGCCAGTGACGGAAAGCAGCATAGTGATCACTAAACTGGGACATTTTCTATTTTGCCTTCTCCTTTTTATTTTAATTAACAGCTTTGCGTTTTAAAAATAATTAAGAAATAAGTACTCTCATATTTTTATATATGAAATAACTAGTGTACTATTAGTTTTGGTGTTAATTTTGATTATTCGTGGTTGTATGAGGTACTCTGTACTAAAATGTACAACAATGGAATACATTCACATACAATGACAAGGTCTTCTCTTCTGATCTTGTGAAAGACCATCTGGCTGATGTTGTGTTTTTGTAGTGATGGTGACAGAGGAACATCAGCTCCTTGGCTGTTTCTACACACCAGTAGATTGGACTTATCTGAAAAAAGAAACACCCAAAACATGCATCTATTCATATTGAATTCATACTAAAACATGCAAATAATTATTGAAATTGCATTGTGCATTTTTCACTTTTATAGATAACACATTGCATTCATCAGCTTGCTACCCCCAGAGAGGTTGTGAAGCATGCAATACTATTTAGAGCTGAATATTGCATAACAAGTTTTCAGTACTATATTTCATTATGTAATTATTATTTTATCATACTATGGCAGTTACTGTGAAGCGGACCTTTGGGGCTTGGTGCACAGCACTTTGTGAGCTGAAAGGTGTAACCATCTGTACGCAGCGCCTCCTTTTGGTAGCAGTTTAATAGCTCCTTCAGAGATCCAAAGCTTCTCTTGGCACCACTCAGGGTATACTCCCCTGCCTCTGTCTTCACTATTTGACAGTGCTTGTAGTCCACCATTGTTTCATACTAAAAATGACAAAATAAACATTATTGTATCCTGCCTAACTGTAAAAAAAAATTAAAAACAACAAACAAAAAAAACAGCTGACCCCAACCACAAACGACATGAAGAATTTATCATAGTCTCTCGGACTACACCGTAAGATGTATAGCCCTTGGTGATTTCCACCTAGACGTAGCTTACTGATCGTAAACTCCATTCTATGAAAAAAGAGGTTATGTCATGCATTTCCAAAATCAGTTACTGAAATGTAACTTTTGTGTATTATGCTTTGAGTGACTTACGACACAGGGCCATGGCAGTAGCTTTGAATGCATTCAAGAAGTCTGGGGGGTGCTACCTCTTTACACAGATAATGATGAGCATCTGTCACAAGCCTGTAATACCCATCGACTAATGACACAAATGAGAGGGCCTCTGACAGTGAGTAGAACTCCAGCTCCTAAAGCACAGCATTGACAAACAATAACTCATTTGTGGCAGTAAAATTAAAACAGCGGAGCAATTGTACGCACAAGAGTCTGGCTGTCTTGTCTGGTGAGGGTGACTATGCGACTCTCTGCAGAGCCTTCCTTATTGGCCTGTTTGATACTGATGTCAATCACCTCTGGGAAGTCACAGTATGTCTGTAACTCCTGTAGAAAAGGTGTAAGAAGCTACATGAAACAATGTATTCTCTAGGAAAAGTCAACAGCTCCATCTACAGGCCACAGTTAGATGCTGCTTTTCCCTGTTAACATGATATTACCATGACCAATCCTCTCACCTCATCTGAACCCTCGGCCTCTTTCACTCTTGACCACTGGATGCCCTTGTTGCCCATGACAACTATGGTGACTTGATGGGCGGAGACATCAGAGACAGTGAAGCGCTCAGTGTAGAGAGAGGGCAGCAGCATCTCCAGGCTCATCAGGTATTTGAGTTTGAGATTACATAGCGTGGCCTTGCATTCACTGAACTGCTGGATGAACTTCCGGAAGCGATAGCGGATTCTCTTTCGAGTCAAGATATTGTACTCCTGAATGCGGTTTCTCATGCAGCTGGGGAGGAAGGATTTGTAGCTAATGCAGAAAAACATAAAATAGGTTAATGCAATGGAGTGTTATATGTATAAGACCTCAAATTCACATACATATGTGGTACTTTAGTTAAAAGATTAAGAACAAATAATCCCCCTCAAGTATATTAGCTGGGAAAACAGGAAAACATTGGGCAACATTTTTAGGATCCAAGGTCCAAAAGTTGTACATACTGTATTTTAACAGATTCAAATGAGGACAGATCAAACGAATTAATAAAATAATCATTATTACAGACAAATACATTGTCCATGTGCCCATAATCCTGATCATGTTTACAGCTGTGTTTTGTGTTTCATTTTGATTGGTACTGAAATCAAAATATTAGTTGCACATAGTAATCTGTAAAGGTTTTAATGTACAATTATCTAACATGTTTTATTTTCAAATAAAAATAAAAATAGTTCAGGTCTGGTCTTATTCTGGACCACATGCAGCAATGTTATACGACACAGAATTTTAATGATGAACTATGAAATCAGTATACTCTGAAACGCAGAAATTCTCCTTAGCAGTTGACTATAACTTAGTCAAACTATATACTCAGTTTTCAAAATGATTTTTTTTTTGTATTTTGTTTTAGCTTTTAAGATAATGAAGTAATTACAGAATGTCTTGAACTTCAATACTACAGTTCAGATAATACATTTATCTTTGGTCTGCTCTCTCACTGAGCACTGGTTCACCTGTTATAGTTGTAGATGTCCACTGGGGATTGACCACTCTCTTTAGCAAGTCTCATCATATCCAGCACAGCCATGCCCAGGCACTCCTCCTGGGCCTCGTGGCTCACAGGCACATGTACCCGGCCGATCAAGTAATCACTGCGCCACTAGACAAACATAAACTCTGATATGTAAGAAAACTAGAGCGGTTCAACCGAGAAGTTCATTCAACAGTTTTTTCTGTTTTTGTACATATTGCTTTAAAATGAACCTGTATCAGTTGTAATTATAAGACCATATTTGTTCACTTGTTTTGACAACATGCGATTTTACATGTGTCTGTTGGTGTGGGCAATGTTGTAATACAAACTGTACAGTAGCAGTCTGTTGACACATAGCTCTTGGGGTCAATGTGTAAGTGACAGATAACAAAGATGAACAGAACAGCTCTCAGGAACACACTGTGAGCATAGATGCTTGAAATAAACCTGACATATTTATTTGTTTTGGTACAATATATATGCAGAAATAACCCTGTCATACCTTTGGTTAGAATTGTGTGGTCTATGCAAGCCACACTTCCTGTTTTCTCACCAAAGACACAGACTGATAGCCAGAAGCCAGATGGAAGTAAACATGCTCCACTAATATAATATCAGAGGGGAAAAAGAAGGCAAGAGCAATGAACAGGCAAGAATGCAAGACCTCCCTGCTGTTCATGCATGGTTATGACGTATTATCAATTAACCAATGGAGTTGTGTTCTGGCTTCCACATTGTACTGTAGCTGCTGTTAAACCTAACAGCTGAAATGTTTGTTGTAATAATGCAATTTTCATCTGTAAAAGCATTGTTTGTAGCATCAGACACGGACAAATGGTTTGTAAAAACTAAAATGATTGTTCATTGAGATGCCCATTTACATCTGCACCATACTGAATCAGCTGCTCTCAGCACTTTTACAAAACAGTTCAAATATTTGAGTGAAAGAGTGAGATATGAGCAAATGTTCATTTCCTGAAATGATGCAAACACATTACTCAAAAAATTAAAGGAACACTTAAAACGCAAAAGGTCTCAGTGTGAAAAAAAATTAGTGGAAATCTATACAAATATGGATAGGGCAATGTGTTAGGAACAAAAGAATGCCATATCTTTTAATGGCAATGAACGAGAGGTGCACTAGAGTGGGCAAATGAGACAAACCCCTAAAACAAATCTGGTTTTGCATGTGGAGGAGGTCATTCCAAGTTTCTCCCTCTTGATCTTTTTTGGCTAGTTTTCCACTAGTTTTGACTTTGGCTAGAATCATTATCAGTACTGGGAGTATGAGGCCATTCCTTAACCGTATATAAAAGTTGCACAAATTGTCCAACTTCTCCAAGATGGCACATCCGGACGTGCCGTAGCAAGATTTAATGCGTCTCCCAGCACAACATGGAGGGGATTTCAGGGCCCATATTTGCTTCTTTGTGCAGGAGGAACAGGCTGCCCTACAGAATGACCTTCAGCAGGCCACTGGTGTGAATATCTCTGCCTAAGCAGTCAAAAACAGACTTAATGAGAGTGATTTAAGAGTGCCACATCCAGTAGTGGGCCCTGTGCTAACCGACCAGCAATGTGGAACTCCATTGGCATTTGCTTGACAACAACAGGATTGGCAAGTCTGCAAGTGCCTTGTGCTTTTCACAGATGAGACCAGGTTCACTGAGCAACTGTGATAGATGTGAAAGAGTCTGGACAAGGCAAAGAGAACACTACGCTGCCTAGCATGAGTGATATGGTGGTGGGTCAGTGATGGTATGGAGAGGCATATTCATGGAGGTACACGGAAACTTCTACCAGCTAGAAAATGGCAGTCTGACTGCCATTGGGATGAAATTCCTTAAACCCATTGTCAGACCCTACACTGGTGCAGTAGGTCCTGGGTTCCTTCTGATCCACGACAATGCCCAGCCTCATGTAGCAAGAGTACGCAGGCAGTACCTGTAGGATGAAGGGATTGATACAACTGAATGGCCCTCTTGATCACCAGACTTAAACCAGATAGAACACCTCTGGGCCATTATGTTTGGGTCCATCAGACACTGCTAGGTTGCTTCTCAGACTCCACAGGAGTTCAGTGATGCCCTGATGCCATGATGTTTTCAAAGATGCTTACAAGCATATATGGCCACACAAGACACTGAGAAGCATTTAATTTAATTCTGGCAAAATGGACTTGCCCGCCACATCATTATTTCACTTTGATTTTCAGGGTGTCTATAAAATTAAGCCCTCTGTAGGCTGAAACTTTTACATCCATTAAAAGAGGTGTAATCCTTTTGTTCCTAAGACATTGGCCTGTCCATAGATATTTTTTCACATAGAGATTTGATGTGTTTTCAAATTTCAGTGTAGTTTCTAATAATTCATCATTAATTATTAATCATTGTAATATAATATGAACTTACTTGAAAAAACTGATATGCCATGACTGTGTCATCCATAACAGGGCTCTCAGAGCCTTTGTAGATGCCATAGCGATGTGCATAGGAGGCTTTCCCAGTGTTGAACCAACCTGGAAAATAGTACCTGTGGACAAGAGAATCATAAACATAACTGTTGTACAAGAAATACAATAAAACAAACATGTACTGTACCTAATTCTGAAATGCAAGTATTCTATGGCCAATGGGTGAACTTTGAAGACATGATTAGGGGGAAACCAAATACAGTCACTTTCTCTCATCAAGCTGAACAGACTGCAATACACTGGGGCAATACCTGTAAGAACACATACAATACCTGTAAGAGCATACAACATCTACTTGTGGATTTAGTCATGTTTTAGTTCTTCTGAATGTTGAATAATTCTAACATCATATGACTAATATCCCTGAGGGTTTAGGGCAACAAGCCATACTGACACAAACACTAAGTAGCATAGTTGTCTGTTCACAGTGGAGAGCAGGCAGCTGTCTTGGGTAAATACAGTAATGAGCACTGTAATGGCACACACATTTTGCAAACTGCATTTTCTATTCTTGCAGAAATACTTATACTAAGACTTAGCATAATTATATAGAAAGATTTGATAATATATTCAGGCTCTGAGTTACTATATCACAATGCAGATATATCTGTTTAAGTCAGCAAATAATTTGGACAATGCACTCTCTGATGTGTTAACTTATCATTGCCAATTATGTTTAACTGTACTTATCATGAACTTACCATATGTGTACAGGTCCCCTACAGCTACCCATTCTTTCTATATGTACATTTCCTCTACAGTATACTTTTTAAGAACTTGATCTCACAATTATTGAAACAAAAATCACCAATGCATAACAAAGACATTTTTACATGATGACAATATAAGTCAAATGCATACATCTAATTACAATTCACTGTCTATTGAATCTACATGTATGTTTTTATTGTAATTCTTTGAGCAGGCTACATCATTCATATGCTTTTAAACAATCTGCTATCTCCTTGAAAACAACAAATGTGGCTTCAATCATCAGGAAACATTTGTGACAGTGAAGCAATGGCAAGAGAAAAGTGTGAACCACAATACGGAAGTCGAGAAGGTATACAGTACAACTTCGTTGTTTATGAAAAAAAAATGTAAAATCTGCACAATTATATTCAGTACTCATTCCTACTGTACTGAGGGCATGAGAATGTTGTACATGAAACTTATTAATGTACTAATGAAGTGGTAACCATAGCACAAAACTCTAAATGCATGATTTTTTTTAGCGGTGTTTTTTGTTTTCAGTGCCAATTGTTTGCATATACAAACATTTCTGTATTAATAAATAAAAAAAGGGAAATATGAATGGAGATGATAATGAAAGTTGGAAAGCTCATTTCTTATCATTACTTATAAGTACAAGTCAGACAATGTAGCAGTGAGATAGAGAGGAGGCCACTCTTGTTCACTTCTTCCAAACAAAACACAACTGCTGCTTTAAGAGACATCACATTTAGTATATGGTCATATTATATTCATATTTTCGCAAGCCATGTTTTAATCTGTAATGTGTTGTCCCTTGCCATGTATTTGAGTCTTACCACAGGCTTTTGCTGCAATAACACACAGCTCCTCTGCTGCGTACTCTCCTGCTGGAAACAATAGCTTGCTTCCATTGTTGTCCTCGGCTTTGTCTCCCTCTCTCTTTCCTACGTGGTACAGGTGGACAGTTAAACATGCGGTGGCGCTAGTTTCCTGTTTAGTGAGGAGTCCAGCAGCAGAGTTGACCTCTGGGACCTGTCCAGTGTGTGGAGAAGTATTACAGGAAATAGTGGACATGTCTGCAAAATACAGGCCATAAGCAGCTGGGAGGGCATTGACCTAAAAAGCAAGAAGACAGAAAGAATGGGTGAATATAAAAGGTATATAGTAGTTACCAGAATGAATACTAAACTAGTCTGGTCACAATTTCAAACGACCACAATGATAATAAACAATGAAAAATATGTAGATATAAAAAACAAAATATATAATTGCTCAATACATATCACCATGTGGTGTAATTTTGATGTAGCTAATACAATTCAAGTATTCAGTACTGATAATTGTTTAAATGAGTATCTAGTTTACCAGATTTACTAACAATAAATACTGATTTTTTTTTACAGCCCTATAATGAATTTATGAGAATGGTATGTAATTATGGTATATTCAATAGTAGTGTTATACTTGTGATGTGGTTACAGAACAGATTTGTTGTGTAACTATACTATTTGCCACAACTGATTACGAAAGCTACCAAAGACTTGAAGAAGTGTTAACTTATCATCACCAATTACATAGATGACACTTATGAGATTACCAGTGAGATTACTTATCACACAAGTGCAGTAAGAGATATGCAGTCATTTGTGTAGGTACACTAAAGCAAATGCATGCCCACATCACTTTGTCTTAAGCTAGAAAGTTACTTAGTTTAACTTAATTCATAAACTAAAGAAAGTACATTAAGTCATGCAATTGCCTCTGCTTTCTTCTGCATAATTGAATCTAATCTTCTATGAAAAGTCAAAACTGCCTAAACAAAGGGCCAATAGACTACAAGACACACTCACTTTCTGTGAGGTTCATATTGAGCAACTTCCTCACTTGTCTTCCTGTGAGTGGTTGTGTTGCTGTCATACTCCGTATGTAGCCGTCTTGTTCCACCTGCTGCCGCCCAACTAAAGCTACTCTCACCAGCTGATAAGAGGAAACCCTTTAGAGGAAGCACAACACTGAGAAAACATGCACTTTAGTCTCTGAAATTCAAAATATTTCAATCATGTTTTGAGGTCCAGGAAGGCACAAGGTTACAGTACATATTGAATCATACCAGGACAAAGAAAGTTTATCATTCAAAAGGCAACTGCAGACTAGCTTTAGTTCAATCATATTTTAGCCAAGAGGCAGACAACCAGCCACATTTAGTAAACAATCTGAAACTTGCATCAAACCAAGGGCTTGTGGTGTAACAGTGTAACACCTTTACCATAGAAGTGGATGTTTGACAGATCAAAAAGCAGCTCTGTCAGCCACACACACCCAAAAACGTTTATCAGCTAGCACAGAGTATTCTCCAGTTTTTTGGCCTGGCCTTATCTGTGTCAGTGCTAGAGTCTTTAAAGCTATCAGCCCCCTTCTGCTCTATCCACCACTCAAGCTGTCCTGTTTATGAAGTCCAGTGAAGTACACATTTGAGTATACAGACCCTTTTTGACAAAACTAAAACTAAACACTAAAAGTGTGTTTCATGCTGGAAGGCATAGAAAGCTATTGTCTACACCCATTTATGGCAGTCTCAGGAGTTTTCTTAATTTGCATAATTCTAAACATAGTCACTGTCAATTAAAGGACAGTTGCTAATGCTGCCTTCTCAGCACACGGTCACTCTATATTAGACAAAAGTATCTGCAAATAAATTTGGCTGCTAAATGTTCACATATTTATTACAAACAGTGTGGGCATATTTGTATGTGAGGGACTCCCCTGACAGTGACAACTAAAATGCTCCACAAGCAGATGTCTAAAAACTGGAGCAATTGGAAATATAGAAATCACTTTAGAGTTGAGATTCCTCACTGCTACAACAGAATAAAAATAGCTCCTTACCTAGTACGCCACTTAAGCCATGTAGACCTAATATATGGCTCTATATCAGCTGTGGTGAATGCAAAAATATGTATTATCCAGATGTATATGTAAATATTTAGTGGTAACAGTAATAAAATATAAAACAGCATATATTTTTGACCAGGCAAGTGGGCAAGCACACAAATCGGTGTGGTTATGTCAAAGAAAGGAGCAACCTAAATGATAATAATAAAAGGAGTCAATAGATTTAAATATCCATTATCCTATTTTTACTTTGCAGTACAGCACTGTTTTATGCTAGTTGTTTTTGACGTGAGTATATAATTATAAATATTTGAAACTTCAGGTTATAATGCTATTACAGGAATGTGTGTGAATGAGACATCCCTACAGTAGCATGTGATGATTTAGTGTTCAGTTGTAACAGTGGATTTGCCTCTCTGCCTATTCTGACTAGAACCCTCACACCCATTCACAGTTTAACTTGCTTAGAATATCCCCTAGTTTTCTTCACACTCATAAAACCACCATATCAAGTCAAACATATTTATTGTCCCCATAGACATAGCTAACACCTTCCATCAGCTCTGGCTCTAATTGATTTTACATTGAAAAATGATCACTACTCTCTGTAAGAGCTGCAGTGAGCCTCGTCATTTTGGTTTTAAAATGTTCATATTAACTCGCTCTACATGATCCTGGTGCTTTTATTTCACACTTTTGTCCATAAATAAATACCTATTCCTAATATGGAACTCAGCTCCAAATTTGCTCCTATAATAGCTAGCCTGGGCCAGAGAGTCTCAGTCCCTTAGGTCACTTCTTCTTATACAGTCTGTGATTCTCACAAAGTTTTTTTTTTCTTGGGCAAAGTGCTGCACAATCAATGGAACATGTACAAACATAGTACAAATACAATCGTGCAGGGCAATGCCATTCCACAAACAACTATATGTAACATAAAATGCCATGTATCTTGTATTAAGAATCTGGCCTAAATGGCTGTTCTTTAATCTATTGATTAGAGCCAACAATGTGACCTTCTCTCATAGGACAAACAAAGGCAATTGTGTCCAAAGTTCAGGACTAGCACTGGGTCTTCTCTCTGTGTGCTGCAGGACCATAGGGGTCTTTAGGGCAATATTACTTCTTCAGGAATGGAATGATTGAAACTTTGGAGATTCATCAATGGTTTGTGCTCTCATTCCCCAGGACCCCAGATATAATTTACAAATTACAATATATTTAATTTTTTTTTAAACATTGAAAACCATATATTTTTGTGAAATCAGGTCATGCCTGTCATGATAATACACTTTGAAGAACGATACACTGCTACAGAGAAATATTGCGATGAATGATGATATTGAAACTACTTTATGCCACTGACACAAGTAAATAAAGCAGGATAATGCCACTAAACCTATTTTTACTATTGGAAGCTATTGGGATGTGCTGCCTTGTAAATACAGTGACATATATACACATAGTCATACCTCTGCACAATATCTTTTCTAAATATGTACAACACAACATTCTAGAATCCCAATAGGTTTGGTGGAATTTGCTGTTTATCTGTCAGATTGCAGATTTGTTGACCTGACATGTGGTTAAGATCTTAATATATATATATATATAATTATTGAGCATTACTTGAAAAATGGCTTCTTTGTCAACCTAAATAAACATTAATAACCCAACCTAAATAAAGTTAAAAATCCTAATGATTTGTGTTTCCAAAAACTATCTTGAATTTAGTATACAATGTTTGTGGAACCAATCCCTGACAAATATAACAAGTTTCAACCTTTGTGAATCATATGTTTGAATATTTGTTCGAAAAAAAGCAAATCTTCTATAAAGTTACAAAGGTCTTTGACTCCATCTAAATTTATGGTATCACCTATTTCTAAAACATAAATGCAACTTATTCTTCTATCTAATTACAGGCATAATCTTGCATCATAACATGACCCACTGTTTAAAGGAAAAAAGTACTTTCACAACGTGTGTTGCTATCAACTGTCAGAGTCTTTTAATGAATCACAATCATCTCAATCAAAAGCTTCAGTTATGACTAAAACATTGTAAAAGTGAAGTCACCAGTCTCAGAACAGGCGTGTGACACTACTAAGTCTACTTCTCTTATTTTTTGCATGGTATGAAGTGTTTATGGTAAAGGGACTGTACACTATAAACAAGAATTGTCACAAAACTAGATACCAGTACTCATTTAAGTAACGATACCGAAAACAACTCACATGACTTGATGAAACTGAACCTTTCCAGTTTCATAAACTAGTAAAGATCACATGGTATAATAAACAAACACTTTTTTAAAATTTTGTGTTAAAAAATTTATCAAAACTGGTATTGACACTGACCAAGAAGGAAAGATTTTACCAGGCTATAGCAGAAGAGTTAATTTCGACCTGCGATCCCTGGGCATGTTAATGTAAAAGGATCTAAAAGTAAGCACTCTTAGACCAGATGTTATAAATCTGTTTTGGTCCCATCCTCAACTTACACAGCAGAACATTCATTCATCATTTCCGATAATTTTCACTCACACACATCACTCTTGACTCATGTGTAGAGGTTTTGGTCTTTTTGAATAGTTTAAGTTGTAGATATATATTTGCTATAAAATTCGGAATATCTTCAAAACAACACATACAATATTATCCTTTTCCTTAAGTATGCGTTGGTATCAAATATTAGATGTTCAGAATACATATTTGTTTATAATGGCAAAGTGGTTCTGTCTAGGTTATTGCCATGAATTTTAAGTGCCCTTTTATACACTGATTCAAGTCCTGTGACCACCTCAATATAGCCTACAATAAAATGTGCGAGGAATTCTGTCACTACTATGCTTCTGTCTGCTTTGAGTTCCATGAATCTCTTTCAGACTCACGCATGACTTTATTCTAGCCTGTGTATAGGTGATGCTCCACACACCTCTACACACTATTCATTAGGGCCATATCTGTTTGCAAAGTCATAACAACAAAAAGTATACATCTCAGAACCACAATGTTTTTCATGTGTTTCAAATTCCGCTTTTTGACACCCATTAGCATCACCTCCTCCACCCTATTCTTCTTATTTCACTTCTCATGACCATATGTATTAATAGTAGCCAAATATGTGGATGTATTTATACACTGTTGATGTAGTCCTGGATGTAATCTTCTTCAATCAATATTTGATGATCAATCCAAACAGATGCAATGCAGATGTGATGAGGTGATTTTACAATAATAACCGAAACCAAACCAAGACTAGGTCAGGGCTGAACCAGGATTAAAACAAGACCAAACCAGATATAGGTCACTCAGTTTAGCTCCACGATCAGAACTTAGTTTACAGTTTTTTTCAATTGTTTTGACACGTCTCCATTGAAAATTGACATCTGGGAAACAGCTCATGCAAAATCCTAAACATAATTTAAATTTTCCTAAACAAAATTTCATCACAGTAAGATGCAGGTTTTCATTCAAAACAGATCAATCATCTTTCAAAAGCAAGTTTTACCAACCAAACTCTCTGTCTGTGGCATATGTATATATAAATGGACATAGCTAATGCAATAGTTGCCGCGTTCCAAACAGGAAATTTGCATGCGGGAGCTTCCTGCTCCTGCTGACCCTGGCTCCCATTGACTTACATTGGAATATTGTGGCCCCTCTCTCTGTAACTGCCGCAGTGATCCTCGTCATTTTGGTCTTAAAATGTCCATATTAACCTGCTCTATATGATCTTGGTGTTTTTCATGTTATTTTGTCAGTTAAAAAATCCTGTTCATAATATAAAGTCTGGCTCAAAATTCGCCCCTGTAACCGCAGCATCTCAAGCTTCACTTGACTGCAGCCCAACACTGTGGGTGATGCCATGCTCCCTTAGTCCACTTCTGTATACAGTCTATTGGCCGGTGGTCACGTGTTTGTGTGCTTTCATTCCTTTGACGCTGCTGATCAGACGTTTGTGTCCTCTCAGGGACCACAGAGAAGTGCTGGTTTAGTGCAGTCTGACATTGGGGTTCACATGTTCCACTGAAGAATTTGGGGCTGGAGCAGTGCTTTTTGTCTGTAAAATTAGACAAGACTCACTGGATATAAACTGTATGTATGATGCCTCTATACAGGCTTATTCATACAGTCTGAAGTCTCTACTAAAGCCCTTCTCTCTATCTATACATTGCTGTTCTGTTTGAATTTCCATGTTGAAGTGACAGTTTTAGTACCCACGTGCTAACCTAAATACTGAAAAAACAAAAGACGCTGAATTCATTGTTCATATATGTTTGTGAATGAGAGCTGCGCAAGCGTTCTGAAAAAGAGCCTGGGAACTGTGTGAACTGATGAGAACTGTTCCAAATGATTTGACCACCCGTGCTCCTGTTCAGATACATGTTTGAATCAAGAGATCACAGTAAACCAATTTTTAAAAAATGTGCTAAAACGAATGAAAAAAAAAAAGTAAGTTGTAGAGCAATACATTCTGGGAGCTACAGGAAGTTATGGCTGCAGTACCAATTTCTACCACTGACATAAAAGCATTTTTTCTTGAGAATACAAATGTCACTGTAGTTTGCCAAGACCTCTCAATCCATGAAGCAATCCGTAACAGCCTTACTTATGTGCATCGTTAAAAAATGTTCACATTTTATTTGAAACTCAGATACTTCTATAAAATGTGGAAGTGTTTTAGCCTTTAGGGAACTGTAATCGAAAAACCTATCATATAGGCATGTTTTGGATTTTGTTTTAAATAGACCGACATAACCCAGGCATTTGTCAGACTTTTCAGTGCCCTGCTTGAATAGTGGTCTATAAAGTTTGCACACGAGACTGACAGACGACATAAGGTAAGCATCCTGCACAACATGTTTACCAACTTTCTGAAGGTCCCAGCATGGAATCGTAAAACAAACACTGACTATGTTTCACTAATGAATCCGGCTATCACAAAGTACTTACACTCTATTATCCTCTTGCCCGCTGTAGCCTCTTCCCAGCACAGCGCAGTTCGTATTCCGCCGCGTGCTGCGTCTTGACCTGTTGCGGACAGAGTAGCTAACGGAGCCAATGGACTGGTGCCATTTGTTCTTTCTTTACATTTCTGCGTCCCAAAAGCTCAGGATAAACGCACCTGTGACCTAACGTTCATAATCTTGCACTGACATAGATTTGTGGCCAGAGAAGAAAGCGTTCGCCGCTCACGCTCACATGAGCCCCCCGAGCACCGCTGCAGAGTTGTGCTTCATGGTGAGGCTGTAGAGGGTGGAGCTCAAGCACTGCTATGTGGCAAAGGGAGCGTTATGGGGGGGAAATAACTGATTTGTTTTATTTTTTTTATGAAATTAGAACTAACTAGAACACTGTTTTTATTTTAAGAAAAATCTAGCATTTACCCTATAGTTTATAACATGATTAAATGACTAAATGACTAAAATAAACACATTTTCGAGCACCGGGATTTGGTTATTGTATCACCAACCATGCTTGTTATGATAGGAGCATCACACGTAGTAGGTCTATCTATATGAAAAAGCACGTTTTTCTTAACTGTAATATTTTATTAACAATATGTAAAATATACAATAAAAAATCAAATTTTAATAATAATAATAATAATAATAATAAATATATGTTTTAGGAGGTGTGGTCACAACTGAGCATAATCATACCCTTTTTTGTTTTAATTCGTCAAAATATAACAAGCTAAAGAAAACCCTGACCTACGGGACTGAAGAGGTTAACTAATTTTCTCTTGTGTCTGATTTAAGGGCCTCAGCAGAAAGTCACACAGCATCAGTCTGACCACTGTTTTTACTGAAGAGAATAGACCAGTGAAAGAGGAAAAGAGTATAAAAGAATGCAAAAGAGAAGAGGAGCGGTTTGTGTTTTTGTCGGATAATCTCCAAGGGTGAGTATCCTACAGGGAGGTGCATGGGGCTGGATTACACCATATGCGATGTTCACTGTCCACTACTATGTTTAAGTGTGTGCAGTTATAGCACTGCAGTTCTGCAGTAATGTAAAATGAACAAATAAAATGTATGCATATTTTCGTAATTCAAATATAAAAAATAGTGGTTAGTAAAGTTTTGACTTATTTAATGTATAAATATGTAAATCAAATAAATAATAATCAAAACATTTGTTTTCATGAGGATGTTGTGATATTGTATGTGCTTTTCTCACCCTCATCTGTATTCCCAAACAGCAGCCTCATGTCAGACCAGCCAGATCCTCTTCGGTTCACACTCCCCTCCCACCCTGACACTGTACTCAGCAGAATGGATATTCTGAGAGAGGAGAGGCACTTCTGTGACATCACTCTCCTGCTGGGGGGTCCTTTGGGTGCTACTGAACCCTTCTGTTTTCATGGTCACAAAGTGGTGCTGGCTGCAGCTTCTGACTTTCTCCGGGACCAGTTCTTACTTCATGACGGTCAGACTGAGCTGGCTGTTGGCGTGGTGACCAATGTTGAAGTGGGGAGAAGGTTACTGCTGTCCTGCTATACTGGACTCTTAGAGGTAATACAAGGAGACAGATATGGGCAAAATCATTTATCAAGTGTCCCCAATACTGCTCTTGGACAAAACACCTTTTTGTGTCAATCTTTAATGGCTTTATCCATTCTTATGACTTAAGGCCATGTAATTAATGATTATACAAATTATACAAATGATTATATAAATAAGTACATTTATTGCTCCCATCAGTTAGAAAAATAGTGAAAAAAAATTCAAAGCTTGGAGCAAAACCACACTTCCAATTTACAAAATGTAAAAGATAATAACACCTCTACAAGTTCTGATACAAAATAATAGTTTCAAAGTATCACCATTTCAATTGGCATTTTTTTTCACAGACCATCACCACAATTTAGCCCACTACAGTAATATTCTTTGATATGTTCTCACATTATTTATCCTATATTTATATGTTTAGGTCCCTCGATGTGAACTGGTGACATACCTCACAACAGCCAGTGCTTTGCAAATTAATTCTGTAGTGGAACAGTGTGCTCAGGCCATTTCCCTTTACTTCACCTTGGAGAAGACCTCAAAGGCAAAGGAAATTCCACAGACCCAGGACCTCAACAATACTGTAAATCAACCAGAGAATACTGACCCTCAACAACAATTGAGAGAAGATGATAATGAAAACAGAAACAAGGTATTGGAATCTGAAAGCAACATAACGACCAATGACAATTCAAAACATAGTGACCTTTCCCGTTATGTTGAAAATGGTCCTCTTGAATGTAAACAACACAGTGCTGAAAACTGCTTTACTACATCAACAGTCAGAGACAAAACATGTCCTGATAATGAAGGAAGACTGCTGGAGAGTCTGCAAGAAAAAGATGGGAAAAGTGATCTGAATAAAAATATTGAACAACCTTTGGCAGAACTTGAGATTGCTATTTCTAAGGATATGCCAAAGCAGAGCACAGTAAAAAGTTGTATAGTTGGAGACACAGTGGACAACCTACTTTCAAAGTCCTATCTATGCCAACAATGTGACCACGTGTTCCAGCACATGGATAACTATGTCCAGCACATTAAAGACTACCACTATTATCAGTGCTTAGTTTGTGAGAAGAGCTTTCCCCAAAAGACTGCCTTGTCTCGCCATGTACAAGTCCACGGCCCAGTGAAGCCTTACAGATGTCCATTGTGTCATAGCACTTTCCCCGACAAGACATCTCTGCAATACCACATCAATGTTCACACAGGCTACAAGCCGCACAAGTGTAACTATTGCACCGGGCAATTCAATCTCAAACCAGGCCTAAGGCGCCACCTAAAGGACACTCATGGGAAATGCAATTTGGAAAATGTGCTTGAAGAGGGTAACTGTTAACAAATCTCCAAAAGCATTTTATTGATTGGTCAATTAAAGAGTAAACAGATTCACGGTGTTCGCAGATCTGCATATTTATTGCTTTGGTTACAATTATGCATGTGCAGCCTTAGCCTATGATATAAATATATAATATATATATATATATATAATATATATATATATATATATATATATATATATATATATATATATATATATATATACAGTCCCTGACAAAAGTTTTGTCGCTTATCCATTTTGTAGAAACAAAAGCTGACCTGACTTTAAATTAATCGATTGGTTTTAGAAATGTCTCATATGAAAGCTAAAACCCTCTCAAATTATGCTCAATATACTAAAATAAATTTGCTTCACTGAAGAAAGATTGATCATTTAATGAACACAGAAAGGTCAGATTTTGGCAAGACAAAAGTCTTGTCACCTTGTCATATGATGCACCCAATCCTAGATTACAGCCTCACCTGTGATCAGTTACTGATCAATCAATTAGTGGGTGTGTATAAAAAGAACCCCAGCACACCAGACCTTCACATCAACTGCAACTTGACCTCTGACAACATGCCTAAGATCCACCCTGAGACCAAAGCGTTAATTATCAAGAGGCTGAAGACCAGATCCACTGCTGAGGTGGCTGACACCTTCAATGTGTCTCAGCGTCAAGTACAAAGAATAAGAAAAAGATCTGAAATGACTGGAGATGTTTTTGACAAGCCCAGGTCCGGCAGACGCCGCAAGACAACTGCTCGGGAGGACCGTTTGTTGATTCGAAAATCCAAGGCCAGCCCCTTTTCCACTGCAGCAGAGCTCCACCAGGCCTGGTCAACTCAAGTCCCTGTGTCAACCACAACAGTTTGTAGATTTCTGTCTCGAAATGGCCTCCATGGTCGAATCAGTGCACAGAAACCAGCACTAAACAAAAGGCAATTAAAAAACCGTGTGGCATTTGCCAAGGCCCACAGCCTGCTAAAAGGATGGATACTGGAAAAGTGGCAGAAGGTGGATTTCTCAGATGAATCCTCAGTTGAATTACATCACAGCCACCGCAAATATTGCAGGAGACCTACTGGAGCCCGCATGGATCCAAGATTCACCCAGAAAACAGTTAAGTTTGGTGGCGGAAAAATCATGGTCTGGGGTTGCATCCAGTATGGGGGTGTGTGAGACATTTGCAGGGTGGAAGGCAATATCAATAGCCTAAAATATCAAGACGTATTAGCTACCTCTTACATTCCCAACCATAAAAGGGGTCAAATTTTGCAGCAGGATGGTGCTCCATCGCATACTTCTATCTCTACATCAAAGTTTCTCAAGGCGAAGAAGGTCAAGGTGGTCCAGGACTGGCCAGCCCAGTCACCAGACATGAACATCATTGAGCATGTCTGGGGTGGAATGAAAGAGGAAGCATGGAAGACAAAACCAAAGAATCTTGATGAACTCTGGGAGGCATGTAAGACGCTTTCTTTGCTATTCCTGATGACTTCAACAAATTGTATGAATCATTGTCGAACTGCATGGATGCAGTTCTTCAAGCTCATGGAAGTCATACAAGATATTAAATATGGATCTCACAGCACCACTACTTAATTCACTGACGTTATGCAACATATTTTTGTATTTGAAGTAAATTATTTGTTCAATTTTCTGTAGGCGACAAGACTTTTGTCTTGCCAAAATCTGACCTTTCTGTGTTCATTAAATGATCAATCTTTCTTCAGTGAAGCAAATTTATTTTAGTATATTGAGCATAATTTGGGAGGGTTTTAGCTTTCATATGAGACACTTCTAAAACCAATCGATTAATTTAAAGTCAGGTTATAAGCTTTTGTTTCTACAAAATGGATAAGCGACAAGACTTTTGTCAGGGACTGTGTATATATATATATATGTATATATTAATAAAAAAATTGAGAAATCTTGTGTCATTTATTTTTTTAACTGCCAAGACACAGAAATGCAGATTTTCATCTTTTTTTTTGGTCCAAAAACAGTCTACAGACAACTTTTCAGTGGCTGACCTGACTAGAAGAACAGTTCACCGAGCATCCCTGTGTAAGTGAATGCATTCTACGGTATTCCTGAGAGGACACACGGACACACACACACACACACACACACACACTCACTCTCACTCTCACTCTCACTTCTGGCCTAGAAACGTCATCACCACTCTTGTCTCAGAGAGTAGCCCACATGTAGGAAAGCTCAGTGCAAGGAGGAGAATGACATGGTCTAACCAATCATTAACAAGACATGATGCAACATAATTATACTGTATCAAAACCGACAGTCCAATAATCAATGACATTTACAGATTAGAGATTTATACAAACTGTCTATTGCTCATGCGATGTGATGGTTCTCAGGGATAAAGTTACATTTCTGTTTCTCTAAAATCACATTTTCTAATTCAAGGAATTGAATCAGATTTTATGTTTTGTACTAAACTCACAACTGTCTTGATATATTTTATTTAGAAGTGTCTAGTACTGTCTATAGTGTCCATTTGTGTAGGATGTAGGCCTATAGAGTAAGTTAATAAAATGGTTGGAGTTAATTATCTAAATGGCACACTGAAATCAACATGGCCTTTGTTTCAGTTGATAATCCCATGTCTCATATTAATGTAACTGCTTGCTCACAAAAGAACAGCAGCGGAGTGAGTGGGTGGCACTTGAAATGACTAATACACTGGAATAACTTTTAAGTATGATGAGTGCGCCATAAAGAGGTTAGAAAGCAGCAGGTGCCACTTTACAATGTAAATGGATCCTAATGACCTTTGTATTGCATAAATTGAATGGCCTCTTATTTCATTAATACTACTGCTGGGTTTCAGATGGCATCAAAGCATTATTGACCAATAATATTTAGTACAAATGGGGCAGCAAAAACTAAAAAGTTGTAATATATATTTTTGTTGTTATATGTATGCGCGTCTGCATGTGGGTGTGTGAGTGGCTGTGAGACTTTATGCTAAAAAGTATCTACTTGTGTGTTGTAGCCTGATAAACGCTGTGTGTCTATCCTGAAATTTTTATTGACAAAAATGTGCAACATTAAACACTTTTAATATCTGTAAATGTACCTTTTAGATATTTCATGTCAAAGTACAATGTAATCAATAGAAAAATGATACTCTTGTCCCCCATCTGGGATTATGACATCATTCTATATAGGCATATGATCAACTAGGCTATTTTTTAATTCCGTGATCAATGTGATATAATGTAATATAATGATGAATGTAATGTATGCTTTATTGAGGAGTACATATATATTTTCTGACAACTAGAATAATCAGACAACCAAATAATATGATCTGATTTCTGATGTTTGAATTTGTGCATGCATAAAAATTTATCTGATCATCAAAAACGCCTGATAACATGTCTCAGTAAGGTTAATCAGTGGATTTTAGAGTAAACCTAGGAGCTTCTGGCCTGTTCGTAGCATATATCAACCGGCACAAGTGTGAACAGAGACAGTTGCAGCTGTTTATTACTATTATTACTATTACTATTACGTTACTACTATTACTACTACTGGGTTACTACTATTGTACTACTAGGCTCACTGCTACTACCAGGCTACTAAGCTACCAGTAAAGACTACTGCCACTATAGGCCTATTGAGTTGCTATCTACTGCTAGTCTACTATTGAATAAAGTCTAATTAACAATGCAGCCTTATACTGTGAGGTGCTGTAAATACAGTGGAGTCATATAAGTGATGTTGTAGAGGCGATACTACTTCCTGCGTGCCTGGACGTACGCACTTGTCGCTATTCTGCTTCATTGCCGCTGCTGTGCCGCGCGATGTTTCTTTAAAACGAGCAGCCCACGCCTCGAAAAGCGGATCGTTCCGGCTGGCCTCTGTACATCTTTTATCCTTGCTCAACACATTAAAATAGTGCCCGGGTGTGCTTCAAGAAACATTACGCTCGCAATTCGTAATTTAAAGCTTACATGCTCGTCACGGTTGATTATGTGTTGCATTTTAGCGCAAGAGTGTGAAATGGTATATTCATCATAATGTGCAGAGACGCAGCATTGGCTCCATCACTGGCGGAGCGATACAAGCGTCTCTCATCCTGGTTTGTCAAGAGGAGGGTGTGTGGCTTGTTCTACCTGCACGTACTGAGAGGAAGGGGGGCTGACTGTTCATTTGGACCAAAAGGACCTGTCTGCCGCACTCTGGAATGTGCTGCTGTCTCGTTTTATCATTGATTATTATGCCCAGGGTCTGGTTGCAGTGGAGAGTTTGCCACTGATTATCCCTTTTGCCTAATTTGGATGGGCACTCGTGGATGACTGTGAATATGTTTATTCTGGTACTCCAGTGGAGAGCGTGAGGTAAGTCACTTTTCTTGAGGCGGTATGCAATAAATGCATTCACTGCTTACAAATATAATTTCAATGTATCGTGAAATTTGCAAATATCCGATATTAAGCCTTTCCAGTCGTATGTTTAAAAGCACGAACTGATCATGCTGTAATATTGTCGGGGAACTATTCTTTGCAACTGGTGTCTACTGTATGATATATATATATATATATATATATATATATATATATATATATATATATATATATATATATATATATATATATATATATATATATACATTGTTCGCATAGATTTTGGTTGAACTATAAATGCATTAGAAGAAGACGTCTGCATTTAGAGCGGCAATAGCCTGTACGCAGGTGTCATGTTTTAATAACCATAGCCCTGGGTAATAAAGTTGAATATAAAGTTTGCAGCAGCAGCAGTGGCTAGTTATTGAATAACCAAGAGACCAGGAAATATGATATTCTCATAATATCATACCATTATCCAAGGCTGTATCAAACTAGTGCTTGTGATTACATAACTGATGTTTGTGCTGCTCCTCTTTCTGCAGACACATTACAACAGCAGTGTTAAAATACTCGGGCCTTTAGGCCTAATGCAGCTTATATGACTGCCCTACCTCCCATCCAGACATTGCCCCCATGCACACTCAGAGATGACAGAACTAATGAATAAGTAATCTAAGACCCATATACTCAGCCATTACACTCAAAAGTACTACCATGGGGGAAGGATAAGTTGCATTCTAGAAATAGAATGAATGAGTATGTTAAGTAAGTACAACATGGTCAAAATGAAACAGTCACTACCAACGCTAAAGACACTTCCCATCTGTGTGGCCCAGTACCTGTGAAGTTACATTTTCACTTTCTGTTCACAATGCATTTTGTGGTTTGAGTTGTTTTTATAGGAATAGTATTTCATTCAGTGTCAAACAGCTAGGCTAAGATGGCTTGAAAAGCTTTAATATTGCAGAGCCAATAAGTGTTAATCAATAACGGAGCATGGCATGCCTTTTAGCAACTGACTGGATGTTCACTTTAATTGTAACTATAAATGTATAGCATGTTGGGTGTATTGACAATGGTAGAAATGTTCATAGAACAAAATTGAATATCTCATGGGAATTATGATATTTTTTCCATTTTTTTTCTCAGGTGAGGAACTGCAAACTCATGTCTCTGTAGTATAGACAAACTATATATCCTTCACCTAACCTTAACCTATATTAGCCCATATTTTAACATTACATCATAATCTAAAATTTAAGCAATTTTCAGATTTTTTGGTCCCCACAAAACATGGTCCTCATAAAGTAAAATACAAATTCTAGTCTCCATAATTTAATGGATACTCACCCACACATGTGGATGTCCAGCAATCAGCATTCAACAAATTTGTGTTCCCATTTCAACAAATGGAATCTGACCACAGATGAGGGAGTGGGACCCAACTGTTCAGGCTTGGGTCCATTGGTGCTTCTGTCTGCAAAATGGAAGTGAAAAGCCAAAAATAAACCTTAAACATTAGATATGATGCATAATATGCAGTTATATGATCTGATCCTGACAGTGCCACACGGGGAGCATTGGAGGATTCAAACATTTTGACTCTATGAACCACAATGACATCAGCACCAAGCACCCTTCATTTGTGTGATCCTATACCATTATTTTGTTGTGCTGCCCATTATGTATTTTATAAGCAAGGTTTATATCAGTCATGTGGTGCGGTAGTCTTGTCTTTGGTAAAATGTTCTTCTGTGAAACAGTCATATGATCTTCTGGAGGGCTGTGGCAATTAATAAGACAAAATAAAAGTTTAATACAAAATCTTTGATCAATCAATATGAGCAAAAAAAAGAAAACCCAGCCCTACAATCTCAATCCTTGTTTCTATTTTGGCAAAAGCAAAAGAAAAGTCCAAGCCCCCTTTCTCTTCCTGGAGCTGAGGCCAAATCAGGACTCCCTGTCCTGAGGCAGAGGAGTGCGAGCCAACTGTTGGCTGTAAAGTCACAATGGACTTGTCATCCTCCTCTCAGTGAAGTGGGAGGCTCACCAGATCGCCACTGTCATGGTGTGCTCTCTCACTTCTTTAGAGGCTTTAGAAACTCATCTTTACACACCACATTTAAATTTAGATTTTCTCTATAACAAAGTGTACTTCAGGTGAAAGTCTTGGACTGGAGTCCAACATTCCAAACCTATTTCAATTCCTAATGACTTTGTAATAACAAACCTTCTATAACAAATAGAGGGTGATGAGAAAATTTCTTTCTGCCATAATGCCTCTGCCCTGTGTCACAAGACTTGAATTACTCATGTGGGGAGCTGCAGTGTGCACACGTGGATTGCCTCTGCCTGGGAATACATCAGAATTCAGGAGGATTTAAGACAATGATGTTATCCTTAGCATTTATGAGGTATGGCCAGGTTTAAGGTTTGGTTATGTTCTGTATAGTCAGAGTTTATTCTTTGTAACTACATCGCCTTAATAATTTCTTTTATATCAGTGACCAAATGTGCTCCCTCTTCACTTTTGGATCAGACTTACATTATAGTTTTATAAATGCAGATAATAGTGGGCTAATCAAAATATGGTTGTAGTATTTATTTAACACCACTGAGCTACCATTACCCAACTACACAGGCCTAATTGACATGTTCATAATGAGTAAATTGGTGTTGCAACAGTTTGCAGCAATTCCATGTAGTAATGGCACATTATGTTGTTTAACTCTAATAGTCTACAGCATGAGGTCAGACTTCTGGAGCCCCTTTTTAACTCTTGTTGAAAACAGGATGTAGCAGTTGCTCAGAGCATGAACAGGTGGCTGTCAGCGTGACTGGAGTTTCTGATTTAAGCCTAACACTTGTGCCCCACTCTTCACTCCATTATTCCATTCACACGAGATCTCAAGACTTCGATGGAATACATATAACAAGGCTCCTCTGGAACTTTAGAAATCACATCTTTATTTTCATAATAATACTTTTACTGGTCCACACAGTGCTCTGATAACTCATTATATTTGGGATTCACGTGGAAGGAAACATGATGCACCATCAATGTTTAGCTGTCCATGGGGCTGATTTGGAAACCAACTTTAAAAGGTGTGTACAAAATTGAAAAAAACATTAGTCCCTAACTATGTACATTAAATGTGAGCAAGAACTGAAATGTGTATGTTGCTTTCTAAAATTATGAAGAAAACCCTGTAATAGCTAATATTAGAAAATATAACTGATGAGAGATTTTGAGAAGCATATGGCTATAAATCCCATGTGTGCAGGCTGCAGCATATTGTCTAAATTGTGTTATCAGCACTAATCTTCTCATTCTCTGCTATGCTACTTTGGTTTTCAAAACAATTTCATAAAAGTTCAAGGTTCGTGGTTAACACCTTTGGTCTTCAGGAACATGTATGCTTTCATGTTGAATTTACTATGAAATCTACTGTCTGTCACATAAATCTGAGATTTAATTATAATTTATTTACGCTATGTATTTTTAATATGTATAAAATTAACATTTCATAAGTGAAACACAGATATATTTAGTTTCATTACACAGTGAAATACCCCCCTGTCCAATCTTTTTTTTATTTAGAAAATTAAGAAAAAATAAATATATCTCAAATCTCAGATTATTAATACTCCTCAATAGCTGCACATTTTATTACCAGCACCAATGAAATAAGTTACTTGTTATGTCTATGTCCTTTTTATGTTGTGTGCAAGTCATGTGAAACTGCTGCAAACCAATTTCCCCAAGATACAAATGAAAGTCTATTCTATTCTGAATGCTTTGTCTGCTCTGGCTCCATATGTACCATATGACTCTAGTATTAGACAACTCATTGTGAACTCAACTCAGAGCTCCTTAAGTTCACTGAATGCATCTCTGCATGTTGTCTGTGGATTGTAACCTCAAACACAGTGCATATTTACACTCACATGTCTAATAATGTGCATAACTACAACCATCTTGTGTTTCCATAACATTTATTGGGTACTGGGCAGTGATGATCACGAGACACCGATTTAGATAAAAGAAAACATTGGGAATGCTTCCACTTCATATAGTTTTATGAGACACCAATGTTTTCTGTAATATTAACTATATTCATTTTTTTCTTAACTGGAAGCCATATCTTTCAAAATGTTGGATTTAAATGATCTATATCTGTGTTTAACCGTTGCAGTTAATTTAGAAAAAAACAAAACAAACAAAAAAACAAAACACTATATACAGCTTAGGGATGCACTGATCCAGTGTATCTGTTGATAACCGATATCAGCCGATACTAAGACAGAGACTGAGAATGTGATTTATGGTAAAAAAAAAAAAATCCAGTTGTGCTTTATAAATACGAATAACTAGTGAACAGCTTTGAAAAATTATATTTTCAATAAAAGTTTACAGATCCATCAAAATTTTCAATATCTGTGTCAATTTCTGATACCAGTATCATATTGGTGCATCCCTAACAGCTGCTGTATACACTATACATGTATGCGCCAAACTCTATGTTTTTCCTGCGCACAGGAGGTTGGAGGGCTGTCTTCAGACCTGGGCTGGACATGAGGCCCCTCTGAGCTGGCTGCCTGCTCCTGTGGGGTGGTGACAGGATGCCCGTGCAGGCAGCCCAGTGGACAGAGTTTCTGTCCTGTCCCATATGCTACAATGAATTTGATAGCAGTGGTCACCAGCCCATCAGCCTGGGCTGCTCCCATACAGTGTGTAAGACCTGCTTACATAAGCTGCACCGTAAGGCCTGTCCCTTTGACCAGACCCCCATCAGCACTGACATCGACCTGCTGCCTGTCAACTGTGCCCTGTTGCAGCTGGTCGGAGCTCCGGTGAGGACACCCTGTTCAAAGTTATCCCTGTTTTAAGTTCTTTTACACATTCACATTCACATCCTCAGTTCATGCATCAGAGCCCAGAAGTTTATTGATCATTTTCAATTAATTTATGGATTTATAATAGCTTATTCTGCATGGCATGTCCTGAAACAAGAGACCTTTTTACATATACAGCAGTAATATAGGTCAAAACAAAATGTATATGTTTCCATGTCTGTACATATTTTAGTATTCATACACCTTATGCAGAAATCATGTGGTTATAAAAGACTAATATCATTTTACAGGTTAGTTGAGCAGCAAAATTATAGTTGGTTATGGCCCTAACATATGTGTGTACCAGGCACCAGATGGAAGACCATTAAGCTTGAGCAGTGCTGCAGAAGTGGGGCACTATGAGGTGTGCAGTGAATGTGTGGAGGAGCTGGCACTCTACCTAAAACCTATTGCCGGTGTCAAAGGTAATCTCAGAAAAGGTTCCATTATACAGTTTGCTTTTAACTTGACATCAAGGCTAAACTATTAGATTCCAGATGTTCTAACAATTTAAACTCTTTGAATTTATGTACTTTTACTACTTAATTAGTTTAGCAAAACCTGAAAAACAATATGCCTTTGATTTGATCTTAAGGCCTTAAACATTGATGACAATCCTATTAACTGTAGGTGTTGCAAGCCCGAGTGTGCTGAGTCGGCCCATGCAGAGGAAGCTGGTGACCCTAGTGAACTGTCAGCTGGTGGAGGAGGAGGGCCGGGTACGAGCAGTGAGGGCGGGCCGCTCTCTGGGGGAACGCACCGTGACAGAGCTCATCCTGCAGCACCAGAACCCTCAGCAGCTCTCTGCAAACCTGTGGGCTGCTGTCAGGGCACGGGGCTGCCAGTTCCTCGGACCGGGTAAGACCAACATCCTTATCATATTCATTATTAAATAATGACAAAGAAAAATATCAAGGCCCTTTGAAATAATGACAGACATATTGCCTGACACAGTCCATTGATTCTTGTCCTGGTTTTCAATGATATGAAAGTCCTTGGTTTGTATGGATTTCGAGTATAATTGAATCTCCGTGGTGGTCTGTGGTTACTAAATCATGACATTACCAACAATATCTCATATTCTAATTTCCATCTCATAGAGAGAACTACAGTCATTCTTTTCATAGTGGTGTGATGACAGTTTGATTGTTTCCAATGTTCATTCAGATGGCTTGTGCTGCAGCTGATGTCCTGTGATGATTACTCATAGGGCAGATTCTGACTGAGAAAACATTTCTCATCATGATAAAACTATGAGTTCATTTCAAGTCTGAGGACACCTGCTTTTGCCACTACATTTGTTTTCTGTAAATTAGAGGAAGTAAAGTAAGTCACTTGTGCTCTTTCACTTACATTTGATGGCAGCTATGCAGGAGGATGCCCTGAAACTGGTTCTATTGGCCCTAGAGGACGGCTCAGCTCTTTCCAGGAAAGTCTTGGTTTTGTTTGTGGTGCAGAAGCTGGAGGCCCGCTTTCCACAGGCCTCGAAAACCAGCATCGGACATGTGGTTCAGCTGCTCTACAGAGCTTCATGTTTCAAGGTAAAACATGAAATGAATCTGGACTCACTTACTGGCAAACCTAGCTCTAAGCATTTTGTTGAAAGTAAATATATTATTAGTTTACTAATCATAAAGCAAATGTAAATCATGTTTAATATAGCATCAAAAATAATGTCCTTTGTTATTTAGTTATATTAATGATGCAGCAATGATGCATAATAATCTCAATTTCAATGTCTAAAATTAGAGCAAATATCTATCTGTATATTGTGTATATTGTATCAAGTTAGTCCTTGACAGAAAAAAACTGAACAAAAAAGCAATTGGCAATTTAGTTACAATAGTACTGTAAGTGTATTAGTTTCTCCTGAAAGTTGGTGTGTGCATGTGTGTATGCATGTGTGTGTGCATGTGTGTGTGCATGTGTTTGAGTGTGTGTATTTATGGAACAGGTTAACTGACAGCAGTGTGTGTGTGGTATTGTGAGAAATGCCAGGTATCCACCAGTCATGTAACAGCAAGGCTAAATTTGCTCTGGTCATTTCAGACAGACGAGAAGTTAGTGCAACTGAGAAATGAAAATGAAATGAAAATGAAATGAAAAGGTTCACTTAACCATTTCTTACTTTAAGTATTTGTCTGCTCAGCTGAATGTGAAGTTTTTTTTAAGACTTTCACACTGATTCAAATTTGGACAGCACAAATTAACTTAAAGGTTGTATAGAGGATTTTCCAAGGAACGAGAAATCCAGCGACTGTTCAAATGTTGCGCATGCCTGAAACCACCCCCCCTCCCCTACAGCTCCCTACGTAGAAACGCCTCCTCCCGCCTCCTCCTTACGCCAGAAACAGGTTTGTTTACAGCCGGTGCACTGCACATGACTTGTAAACAACTAACTACAGTGTTGGTTAGGCAAGGCGGAGAAGTGAGGAGCGGGGGGAGCAGGTGTGCGGACATTTTGTGCACGGACGAGAAGTGAGGAGCAGGGAGAAGAGCGGAGCAGGGAGCAGGGAGAGGAGAGAGGAGAGAGGAGAGGGGAGCGGTGCGCGGAGATTCCGTGCCCGGAGAAGTGAGGAGCAGGGGGAAGAGCGGATCGGGCAGCGGGGAGAGGAGCGGGAAAGGGGTGCAGAGAAGGTTGCGCGGAGATTCCCTGCGAATGAACTAGCTACAACACGCAGCAGCAAGCGGACTTTTTCTTTGCATTGAAAATTACGTTTTCAGACATAGGATATCGCTTTCGTGTCCTGAAAAATGTTTGACTAGCTCTTGGAAATAAAGTACGTTTTCATAATAAGCAGAAGTGACCTGTCCAGGAGTAATTTGGCGACCAGTGCGTCAGTCTTTAGACCCTGCGTCTGCTTCAGTCGCGCCATCGCTGGAATGAATCTACAAGAATCACCTTAGTTTGGCTTCGCTGCTTTTCCCCTTGTCTTCTTCTTTCAGCAATCTCAAAAACGGACTTTCTTTTGTGGCTAACTGCTCCTGGATTCTTGTCTGCCATTGCAACAAACTTTGTGCTAACTGCGAGGAAGATATAGGTCAAAAAAAGCCGCTAAGAACTGTTGCGTTGGTGGAGTAAACAGCGTCTGTGCGGCTTGCGTCTGTGGACTGCGTGACAGGCGTACGTAAACCACGTACCGGCGGCGCGCAGGCAGGTCAGTTACGCTAGAAACGTAGGGAGATTGATTGACAGCCTGTCAGCTAACAGATAACGAGGCAGTGTCGTTATCTATTGGCAAATGTTTAGCTGGCCCCACCACGTCCAGAGTTGATGAATTTTTATTCTCTTTTTTTTGGTCATCATAATTACAAGGCTACTGCATCTCTATAATGCTATCATTGACAATTTGAAACAAAAAAAAATCCTCCATACAACCTTTAATAGAAACTGAATGCCATTGGTGCATGTCACCTTAACACTAATCTTAAAGTCTTTATCTCTTAACTTTCAGGTGACTAAGCGTGATGAAGACTCATCCCTGATGCAGCTGAAGGATGAGTTCCGAACTTACGAAGCACTCAGGAGAGAACATGATGCCCAAATAGTACATATAGCCATGGAAGCAGGCTTACGCATTTCACCTGAGCAATGGTCTTCACTCTTGTATGGAGATCTGGTTCACAAATCACACATGCAATCCATTATTGATAAGGTGCAGTGTTTTATATTAAAGAGTATTATAAGATATATTTTAACTAAACTAAACTTGAACTAAATTCTCTCTTACTTGTGTTTTCTTAGTTGCAGTCTCCAGAGTCATTTGCCAAAAGTGTGCAGGAGTTGACAATAGTTTTGCAAAGAACTGGAGATCCAGCTAACCTAACCAGTCTTAGACCAAATCTGGAGCTGCTCGCTAACATAGACCACAACCCAGGTTTGTCTCCAGAATTGTCTCCAAATGCTCTATTCTTACCAAATGCAAACTATGTATATATTTCTGTATCTAACCTTGTTTTACATGAATCTTACCACAGACTAAATTACTCATTGGTCTCTGTGCAGATGCACCACCACCTTCATGGGAGGAGTTGGAAAATGTGATGTTAGCTGTGAAACAAGTGGTTCATGGACTTGTTGAATTCATACAGAATTTTAGTAAGAAGAGCCATGATGCTCCACAGGTATGCCGTTTTAGTAACCTCAAAACACATTGTACAATTAAACAAAAATGATGAAACAAAAATGTTTGAAGTTATTTTATGTTCATGTTGTTTTTGCAGCCTCAGGCTAACAGCAAGTACAAGACCAGTATGTGCAGAGATCTACGTCAACAGGGAGGCTGCCCCCGAGGAACCAACTGTACATTTGCACACACACAGGATGAACTGGAGAAGTATGCACTGTCTAGCACAACCACTGAACAATACGTCTAAATAAAAAAATACAATACTAACAATTACTATTGAAAAAGGCAGTCAGCATGCTATATTAGTTTAGATTAATTGCAGTTCAGCACATATTGTTAATCATTTTGACAATTTTGACTCCTTGTCTTCTTTTAGTAATTGTTTTTATTTTATCTACAGGTTTCGACTAAGGAACAAGAAAAGTGGCAGCCTAAATCGTTCCCTCCACTTGGTGCAGGGGGTTATGGGAAAGACTTTCACTGTTGAGGGCTCAGATGTGACTGCTGTGGCTGATCAGGGCTCGAAGGGCTTGGGAGACACTGCAGTAATAGAGGGGGTACCAAACCTTACTCACCCTCAGCTCATCTGCAGAGGGGCAGACATGTTGGAAGACATCAAAAGAGCAGTGCCAAATGAATCCACTGTGCCTAATGGATCCAGCGAGCTGTGTGCCACCACCAGGGCATCGTCTGGATCAGCAGAACAGTAAGAATTTGTTATTAAAAATATTTTGATCAAATATTTATGATGTATTTAAGACTACGTATGTAAAAAAAAATCGCTATTATATTTTTCTCACTGCTGATAAGAGTTTAGCTATCAATAGGATACTAAAAGCTGGCCTAGAGATTACTTTTCCAATACCAGGATTGCGACCCTACCAGTTGCTATTATTCTAAAACAACTTCAAGTGTATTAGTTTACTGTAGTGTTTTACAAATAAACTCAGAAAGATAATGTTTTAGATTACATTACCCTAGAGCAGTGGGGCAAATCCCTGGAAAAAACTTTCGTGTCTTTAGGCAAGATACTTCACCCACATTGCCTAGTTTGAAAGTAGTGTGTGAGTGTTGGTGGTGGTTGGAGGTTGGCAGCCTTGTTCCATCAGTCTACCCCAGGGCATCTGTGGCTACTATGGTAGCTTACCCTCATGAGTATGGAGTGAATGAATAATGCATTAAGAGAAAAGAGAAAAAGGGGGGGAGAAAAAAATGACACAATTTATTTTCTTTTAGAAAATCCATGTCTCCTCCACAAACTCCTGTAAACCATCCTTTGGCGTCTTCCCCACTGACCACTGCTGGATGTGCTGATGGTAATTCCAAAGTGGCCAAACACAGTCCTTTTTTAACACGTGTACCACATCCTTCTCAAGCCTCTGAGCTGTATTACCAGGATGCCCACTCACCTTATGATTCTCCCCAGTTTCAACAAGCATGTGAGTAGTGCTATTCATAAGCAAAACAGATCTATATACACATAAACAAGCCCTTATTTAAATTAGTGTTATATTAAACTTACTTTTAATTTAAACTATAATGTTAATGATAAAAAAAAAATTCTGTCTTCTCCAGCAGGCTCCTTTTATCCCTCCACTCTTCATGCCCCACACAAAACATGCATGACTCGATTCCTTCGCTCCTCAAATGTTCCAGAATCCTCTCTGCCTCCTTCACTGGGCCCGCCACCATCTTCCTTCCCCAGTGATCTTCAGCCCTCACACCCACCCTCCTCTTCATCCTCGGGGTACGCGCCACACCCACTTAGAGAGAGAATGAGCCATACTGCTTTCCATGGCCACCCGGGTCAGCCTCAGTATGGTCCCCTTGCTCCTGCCCATGGTGTTTATGCCCCTCTCTACGACAGCAGGAGGGTATGGAGGCCACAGGTGAGCACTGTCATTCTCTGTCACTTGTTGCAAATTTATCCTACGTTGGAGATATCTGCACAGAGACTGTCTTGTCTCTCTTGTCTCTGAACACATAGGTGTTGTCCTAGGCCAGGCCACTTCATTCCTGCAGTGTAACTTAATGTGTACTTGTGTCTGGGGTTTGGTCATAACCCAGAACGCATAACCGTAGTTGGAGTGAAAACGCAGGGGTTCTGATAAATGGCCTATAGCTTCAACTACATGGATGTAGTGTGTGTGATGGAGAAGTATTCATCTAAGCTCAGTGTTATTGTTTGTACACAATCATTTTACCTTTTACCTATGTTGTTATCATAGCTGTACCACAGAGAAGATGCACGAAGCAACTCCCTCCCCCCAGAGGTGTTGCATTCAACTGTCTATCAGGCTCCACTAAGAGAGAGATTTAACTCTTTAGACAGCAACTACTGCTCAGGAGCAGAGCACAGAGGGCTGCACAGGGTAAGTGAATCAACTGTCTTCTTTTATGTTTATTTTTTGTCACATTATTCTGTTTTTTTGTTGTTTTTTTTTAACAAATTGCAGAACTAATAAAGACAGAAATGAGAGAGAAAATGTTAAAGATGAAAATTTTGTTCCAAAATACATGAATTAGTAACTAAATACATGTACGAAAAATACATATTCAGAATACTGATTTATTAAGTAATAATTTTCACTATACAGTTATTTATTTTGTATATATATGTAAAATATTTTAATGCATGCATTCACTGTTTTGTAACTAATTACATTTTCTTAGTATTCTTATTCTTATTATTTTTTAATATGCATAGAAGCTACATAACTTGCGGAAAACTAACTAATCCCAGCATGCATTCAGTTATGTTTCTGTGTTCCCTCCCACACGTTCTCACCTCTACCTTTGCAGCATCTCTACAGCGTGCATTACAGTGTGCAGTGTTGCTGTAACCTCCTCCGCCATCCTCCCACTCCTCACCCAAATATGTCTCTGCTTCCCTTACTCTTTCTATTCCATTTACACTATAAAACCAGCCTTACCAGTGATGCAACTGTGAATTGGGCAAAGCAAAAGTATGATTGCTTTCTATTTACATTTAGGCTGATAACTATATTCTACATGAAAATCTTTTGTGTACTCTCCAGAATTTTAACTGAGTATCTAGCCTTGATTAAAATAATTTGAATTCAGAATATTCATCTGGATTTTATCTTGTTTTATTGCTTATGATTTATAAATTTGCTATTGGAGTAAATGATATTTTCTGATCCCTACTGTAAAGTAAAACAAATATACAAAAACAATTAAACAGTCACACATTGACATTTAGATTGATAATCTGAATTCATGTAATTTTCATTCTTCTTGTTATTTATTTTTCATAGTGTAAAAACGTAACTGTCTTCACTCATAAATGTTGCACGAGAGTTGAAATTCAGTATTTTTATTTCTCCAATCAGGACTATGGCCGTGTTCCCCTGGGCTATGAGGATCTGTTCAGAAGGAAGCAGGAGCAGTGGGCACACCACCACCACCATCATAATGCCAACCGACCAGCTCAGTCCTCCCCCATCTTCACAGTCGACTTTGGAACAGAGGTACAAAGTCACCAACTGTACATTAACACTCACTATGTACTTCTTTCAGCTGACCAGGTCCCTTATCATACATCTACAGCTGACATACAATGTAGCAATTATTCATGAGGTTTACATATACATTTAAAATTGTTTAAATGCAACATCTAGTCTATGTACTAAGTGTAATAGCAGCACCAAGTACTATTTAAGTCTGGGGATAGTTGCTTAGCAACTGAGAGGGAAGATTATATAGCAAGTGTAGATGTGGTAATGAGTGTGAGAGAAAGTGAGCACAAGACTTTAACAAGTGTTGACTCAGGGTTTTAGACAACTAAGCCTTTGTTTCACTGAATATCATCAATATTTTTTATTTTACGTAATTGAATATTGGTGACATCTGAAGCAATGAGTCCCATTTGAGTTCCTAAGCATTTTCTTGCATTGTGGTCACTATTTTACTAATGCAGACACATAAATGAACCATAAGGACTATAAAAATGCTGTCTAGATTGTTGCGTAGAACACAAATTCCAGAATGAACAGTGATATCAGTCGCAAGTAACAAGTTACAATGGAAGTGCTGTGTGTCTGCAGCATGTGGAGGGCAGTGGAAGTCCTTGTATGGGCTGTCGCTTCAGTGGAGAGGAGAGTTTAGCACACTACTCTCCTTGGTCTTGTGGTTCCCTCGGCCCCTGCCTCAGCTCCTTTGAGCCTGACTCTCTCACACATATATCAGCCCAAACCTGCTCCGAGCATGTGGTGAGGAACTGTGTTTTATGCTTTCTAACATAATCATTGATTTGTACTGCTTTATTTGCATATGCTACATTCTTTTTCCCTGTAGGAGTTGAAAATAATGAGAGTGGGTGCAGCGGTAATGGTGTAGCAAAACCATGGCTACATTCATTAGACCACTACCGTCGACTCAAAGATGAAGATCCAATCATTCCTTTCAGTGAGGGGCCCATTATCTCCAAGTGGGGAGCCATATCTCGAGCCTCTCGTACTGGCTATCACACCACCGACCCGGTCCAAGCCACAGCCTGCCAGGCCAGTGCCAGTACCACTGCCATTAATTTCAGAGGCAAGATGTTGTTTACACTGAATAAGCACTGTTTTTTAATCCATATTATACTGTTTATACTCTTTCACCTAATCTGCTAATGTTTGTTTAACACAACAGACTACAGTGCCCACTTGGACCATAGTGACTACAGATGGAACTCGAGAGGATCAAACACTTCCAGCCATTCAAGTTTTTTAGACAGGTAAACTTCTGGTTCTGTTTAGCAATGGTGTACAGGCTGAAAGCTCAAGAGGGTCAGCGGGGGTGTGTTGGGTCTGTAGAAGAATAGATTAAGGGATGTGATCTGGTGCAGTTGAGATTTGTGAGTCTTATTCTCTGTCTTGGGATGCCAGTAAATTACTGATTATTGTAATTGTAATTGTAAAATTTGGTGTTTTTGCCCCTAATTGTGTAATATTTTTTGAGATTTTAAAAATGCCAATTATCCTTTTGCCGCTGTCCTATTCAGATCTGTAAGAGCTGTGATACATACAAAAAGACCTCATACACATACTAGTAGAGGCAATTTCAGAAGCAAAATGCATGATGTAACCCCTCTGGGCTTTCTCACAGTAGTACCGCCATCTCCATTTTCTGGTGGACTAAAAATAAAGTCACTTGTTGAACCCACATGCTCACTGGGAAAGCCCTCTGGCTCTGGATATCGCGTTCACACATTTCTTCTGACACCTTTATGATTTTGATTAAAGTCTGAGTGTTTGTCTGTTGTTTTTTTCTAGTAAGCAACTTTGTTCTTCTGATCTAAGAGGAAACCGAACTTCTATTGGGACTGGGGAGAAGCTCTATCAGACTGTGTATGGTCTGGATGAGGAGAGACCCTGTGAGAGTGAACCAGAGCCTGACCGGGACATCGAGCTGGAACTATGTGCTCTTGACATGGATGACTCAGACCAGCAGGATGTCAAATCACAGGACAGTGTAAGAGCAATAACACACAATTGCAAAGCACTACAGTGCTACCAGACTCACTATATTCACTCATCACTCAGCACCACAAAAACAAAAAAAACTAAATCTGTCAGGATTTTTCTAAAAAAGTTTAAATAAAACCCATCAACAACCCTTGTCTGCTCGCCTGAGATATTCATTCTGTGAAAAAGTCCACAAAGAGCACTTACTTTTTAAACTGCTTTTCATGACTTAGATCAGATGTAAGAATAAGTTAATAAAATTGAAGTGCAAACATGATTCTCACCTCCTGCTTTTTTCAGGAGTCCATAGACCTTGCCTCCCCTCGGGCTGACGAGACTTCCCAGCACCTCCTGTCTCCTTCCTGCCCCTCACCACTGCTCACGTCAACAGCAGAGGAACGGCTGGAAGCTGACACATCTTTACCTGACAAGATGGACATTAATTTGCTAAAAAAGATGGCCTTCAGGTGTCACCTTTTAAAATAATATAAATGGTGCATTCAAACACATTTGAATTTTGATTACTGTTTGCCTTAATACTGTACTTTGTTTTACAGGAAGTCAGTTTCTCCTGGTGGAATAGTATCAGGAGGTTTGGCTGTGGGAAAATTAGTACTCCGAACAGGACCTTCCCATTTGGGTGACAGTTCTTCCTGTGCTTGTTCTGAAATGCCAGCGACTACTGCAGTACTGCTCAATGGAAGTTAAAAGTTTAAAAATTCAAACACTGCATAGGATCCAAATATGTAGCCTAGCTAATAAACCCCAATCTCTAAGTACTTAAAAGATTTTGAACATTTTACATCCTGCTTAAAATACACTCTATTCTGTCCAAATACTTGTATAATATAGAACAAATGTCTATATTGACATTACAATAGTAACCTGCCTATTACCACTTGATGAAAGCTAGCTTCCCTCTCTTCCTTCCCATCTTGCACTAGTTATACAAATAAAACATGTCAAACTACACTAGTAGTATTGCTGCTCTATGCTATTCATATAATATATATATATACAGGTATAGTATTTTTATAGCTATTCACATCAGTTCTTACATAATGGTGATATCAAAGAAGTAGCAGTTTCTTTGATGTTCTGTTAAAATATTAAGACTAATCCCTTAAATCGACAACTTTTATTTTCATAGTGAAGCGCTTCTCTCTTTGCGAATCATATGATGTTCTAACTGCCTCTGCAGTCATGGGACCAAGCTGTTGGGACCATTTTGACTATATTTACAAATTAAGTAAGGTGTTAACTAGAGCTGTAAGATAACTAATGTTCTTTTAGAAAACAATTATTCAATGATTATACTAGTTATATGCCATTGGTTTTCTGTTAAAAGTAACTGAATTCAGCAAATATGTTTGCTCCAGCTTCACAGTTACTTTGTGAATTTATGACAATTGACAATTTATGGCAAACAGAAAATATTCAAGATCCTGAACAAATTTTTATTAAGTGAATTGTTTTTTGTTTTTGTTTTATAACCATTTTCATCCCACAAAAACTATTTTTGCGTGTGCTTTGCTAACTTCTGTGAAGTTGTTTGTAAGTATTTTTGTATCAGGATATTATTGTGTCTTCAAGATTTAAATCACTTCAGTGAACCATTTTTTCATATACTTCCATATGTTTGCTTCTACTTATAGGGATCTCAAAGCCCTGCTGTTTTAGACACAGCTTACTTTGTACTGTACAATCAGTTTTCAAGCAGCCCAACCTGATTCTTTTCATAGAAAATACACTCCTTAGTCATAATGACTTAAATTAATAGTTTCAAAGATTTAAGAAAATATATTTATACTATAGAAGTCTACTTTTTATTTTGAAAGAAATTTCCATGCATTTTACAGGTGATCTTATATACCATATAGTTCATTTCCATTTGGCGAAAACTACATTTGCATCTGTTTACAACTAACATGAAGTGCCATGAGATGTACAGTTTGACTGTATGGTTTCTGCCTTGCACTGCCCCTTACTTTGACTGACTCACCTGGAAAAATGCAAAGAATGAAACTGAGTCAAACTTAGCAGTTCAGTGCAATTGTGCTTTTCTCCAGTAGAGGCTGCTAGATCCATGTGTGCGCAAGTTGCTCAGGGAAGATCGGGGAGATGTTATTACAACAATTTTTTACCTATTGGGGATTTAATTCACTGTATTTTTATTGCTTGAATGAGTATTTTCAGTGTTTTGATTATCTAAATGTTTATTATAAACCCAACTGTTTTGTTGTACCAGCATTGTAGGTGTGAAGTAACTGTACTGCTGCCTGCACTGGTAACTGCACCGCATTCTTTGCCACCACTTCACTGGCAGAGTGTGCAAGCCCACCTTGTCCCAGCACCTTCCCATAATTGCTCTGTTATCATGCATGCCATAGCCCCTCTTGTGATGGTGGAGGAGTATTGATGACTTTGTAGTTGTGATACAACACACCCAGCGCTGTAAGAGTTCTGCACATGCCCACTGTGTGGCCACGTTAATGCTCAATTTTGCCTGCAGCATTATTATTGTTTGCTGAAATATATGAATTATACTAGTATTGTTATTACCACATTTGATTGCTGTTGTGGTACAGTCATTTTGTTGATTGTGAAAAAAAGACTGAAATAATGTTTTATGACTTCATGTCTGTATTAGACATTTATTTTGTAAATCTATTGCTCAATGGATATGTAGGCAAAGTGAATTAAGAGATGGTACACAACCGTCATTTGTAAACAGTCTGGCACCATCATTAGATGGACTTATAGTATTGTTGCATTTATAAAACGTGTGAGAATAAGATGTTATAGCCTATATTTAAATGTGTTCAATGAATTGGGCAGCTGTATAGTATTTTTACTATGAGGAAGGAGATAGCAAGCTCCAGTAATGAATAATACTGTTATGTATTCAATTTATTTCCTTGGAAATACACATGTGAAAGGTTTGCCTTTTACTTATATTATAATACCAAATTATAGCAAGATGTTTGTGCTTTTAATAATTGATGAATTGTACAATATTTGGATGATTTGTTGATTCTGTGTTTATAATGGATTACTTACTTGTGTTATACTGTTTACTTACTTGTGTTATACCAACAGTATGCCCATGAGGCATCTTGTTATTATTGCATTGCTCTTGGAACAGTAAACATGACAGTGAGGAATTAAGCATACAAAATTGCATGCTACAATAAACCAGTACAAATCATGTCATTGTCAACTTCATATTCATGTATTAATAGGACTATAAAACTTTCATTTTAGTTTTATATAAAAATATTGTATGCATGTAATTTACCACTGATAGTAACAGAGGTTTTAAAGGTAGTCATTTGGACAAGATTTTTAGTCTCAGGACGTTTTAATTTCCATAAAAAATAATACAAACAAATTATAAATAATGGAATGACATTTGTTTAAGAAAATGAGAAATACCTTTTGATTTCTTTCACCATTATTTATTAAGGAAGACTCTTAAACAGTACAGTGGCTTACAGTATTATAGCCATACAGCTAAGAATGTCAAGTAGAAGTTTACATAAATTGTTTACCTAATTGACTATAGAATTTATGCTGCTTACATGTACTATGACAAAGATGATTCTTTCCACTTGTTAAGTAGTAATAATGAGTGCGTGTGACAGAAGCGTGTGAATGACAGAGCTCACTTTGTAGAGGTGCAGGTTTGATTCTCCTGTAGGCCTGGATCTATTAAAATAACATGTAGGCCTTTGCCAATTGTGATGCCAACGCCTTTCTGTCTCAGCTGACACGCGCATGCGCAGAGTGCTGTCAGCGGGCTGTGTTTACAGCTCGGGATGCAGTGGCTGCTGATGATACGGGAAAAGTGCAATGTTGTGCCAACCTCGGTGGGAATAAAAACACTTGTGGGGAAAAGGTAAGTTGTATGCTACAATACACGCTCGCGCTTTCAATGTTTAATGTGCGTATAGTGTGAGGAATTAAAGTACTTGTTATCATTTCTAACTATTAAGGTAGCATGGCTAACAGTCGCTAGCAAGCAGCAACAGTATACATTAACATTAGTGGCCTTTATCCCTGCCTTTTGCAAGGAGAATTACATTATGGACTCATTTAATTGATATCTGCAAGCAATTTATTACCATATTTGTGTGGCGTATTAATATCACATTAGCTTAGTGTCTATTTTGAGTGAACTGTCGGACCTTTGATCGGTGATGCTATAGTGTTAGCATCAAAGCTAACGTTGTACCCTTAACGTTACTAGTTGAAGTTGACACTAAAGCATGGACACTGGTAGCTGGTAATAAAAACTGGCAACGAACAACACTTTCTGTCATATTGTCAAAAGCGTATTTCATATGGCGCCTCAAATCGAGCCAAGTCAAGTGTGTGTATGTGTGTGATGTCTGATGTTGCCATGTCTGTAAAGTTTATCCTAACAGGTGTGCTGCTCGGGCCGTGATCAGGTGAGGGCCAAGACAATTATCATTGTCACTGCAGATACAGCAGATACAGCAGAGCACCCAATAGAAATCCTGTGCCTCAAGAGATCCAGCCGTCCCTGTTTAACTTGACAACAGAAGTAGTGTAACAGCTGTGAGTGGACAGAGCTCTCTGATCTGTGGCATCTTTGAAAGGTCATAGAGTCTAAATAAAATAACATGACAATATTGAACTGAGCTGTGTAGATTTTCCCTGAAGATATCAAATGTTAAAAGACAAGTATATTTATGATGAGAAAACTGAAATCACTGATATACTGTACAAACATGTTTTGTTTGTTCTGTCTAGAAAAAAATGGCCCACATTCTGGCTAGTGGTACAAAGTAGTAGTGTAATTCTACACTGAAAGTATGTGTGAAAAGGGGATGTTTATTATTTGGTATTATTTCTTTTGATATGGTCGAGGTGTGTTTTGTAGTCTTAAATGGAGCAGATTCCGATATGTACAGGTGAGTAACTGTGTTTGTTAGAATGGTCTTAGCCCATGCAGGCCTCCTGTGTTTCACACAGACCACTCGGATACAGCTGTGCTGTGTTCCTTAAGGCCTCTGTTAACAATTAAACATGATGATCCTATGCCAGAGATAACCCGATATATCCAGCATATATACCATTATACCAGATATACCAGTATATGTCGGGCAGATATTTGCACTTTTTAATGCATCAGCCTAATATCTCCAGCACAGGCCAATATTTTATTTTGCCAACTTGCTGCCTAAATAACACACATAACGTATTATTTGAACATTTTGCAAAGACAACTGTATAAAATGTGACAACACTCTTAAATTTTGTGGTAAAAAAGAGCTGTTGGCTGAGTTTTCTGTAAATTTCAATGACATAATTTGGCGAAAAAATAACCAAATTCGGTCCTACGTATCGGCCCAAAAATATTGGCAGAGCTTATTGGGCATTGCTTTCTCTGTGTTCCAAACAACTGGCATCGGCCATAAAAAAAAACAAAAAAACATATCGGTCGATCTATACAACTACTGTGGCCTGTCATTCTTTTGTTGTGATTAGTCAGTCTGTACACAGAGCCAAGACTCATACTGTCTTTTTAATGCCTCAGTCGTCCAGGTTGCTGTGAACTTTGAGGTTTGTATTACTTTCTTACTTGAAACTTTGTTCCATTTTTTTGTTGTGTCTATGAATTGCACAGTGTCCCACCACAACACAGGCCTGAATGCTCCGTAGCTGTGTGTGGCTCTGAGGTGCACACACAGGGCTCAGCTGGCAGTCCAGAACAGAGCGTTCAGCTGAGAGGAAAGAGTGAGGACTGAGAGTGTTTGAGTTTACACATGACACTGGCCTTTTTATCTGCAAATTCAGAGCCTAAATGAGTGATTATTTGGATAACTGAAAATCTTGATTGTTCTACGCATAACATATGTAGACAGTTTTAAATGCAAAATAAAGTTCCTTTTGATGTGACATCAGCCTACTGCTATTCAGGCAGTTTGATTTCATAAAGCTGTTCACATAACTATTACAAAGCAGTGGTGTCCTATTTGATTGAACAATGTGGATGGAAGAAAATGAAGAATTTCACTGTCAATAACTGCCAATAAATGTGACAGGTTAAACTACTAATTTTGCTGAAATAAAGAGATCATTATATTTAACACATTAACACATTTAAAACATTCACATCAATTTGCCCAATTTGGCAATTTTTTAGGTTTATAATTTTACTTCCTGGTTGGAAACAATGACATCACACAAGAGAATTCCATAATCTTTACCCAACAAAACCCTAATGTATACAAAATATTATCTGACAGATACAAATATAACACCTTTATTTTGTTCAAATCATGCTTTAAGTATCAGAAAAAATGTGATTCTTAACTTTTGGATGTATTTCTACCTATGATGTCATCAGTCTGTTTGAACTTACTACTTCCTGACATTTTCAACACATTTCTCAACTTTTCTTAGTATATTGCTTCTTGATTGGTTAAAAATTGTGATTTTTCTTGTCACAATAATTGTAACACTAAAATATGTAACATCCTACTACATGTGTCTTGAATCAAATAATAGTACATTGGCGTAATGGCATGCTGGTTTGTTTGTCTGGCTGTGGTGAGAGAGCCCCACCTACTTTCTGTTTGCATGCAGGACGGTCTAGAACTAGACCAGCATATTTCAGACTTTTTGTTTTTCCTGAAAATTATTTATTAACAAAATATATAAAACTTCCTTGGTTTAACACAATTGAATACTTTGAACACTGGTTCTGCAAATATCAGATCAGTATACGTCTCAATCTTTTGTTATTTTTTCCCTTTCATTTGTTTACTTAAAATGCAGCCTGTGTTTCTTTGATTGGTTAATTTATACCCCACTGAGCTTCGGGAGAGTTGGAAAAGGGTGTAATCTTAGCTAACCAGGCAATTGGTTTGTTCTATGTTTTAGTATTTTCTATTTCTGTGTTTATGGAAAGTGAAAGCAAATGGTTGTGTATATGTATATATATATATATATATATATATATATATATATATATATATATATATATATATATATATATATATATATATATATATATATATATATATATATATATATATATATATATATATATATATATATATATATATATATATATATATTCTTTTTTTCTTTTTTTTTTTTTTTTTTGACTTTTTAATTTGTGGTTGGATAGAAGTAATTTACCCATTTGCACTTCATCACAGTTTAATACTTAAAGATATAGTCTAGTAATATGATTCAGGTGGCAACTTTAAAAATTGAAATCTTTGTGCTTATCAGCCAATTTTTTGTCTAGTATGTGGGTCTACTTCTACATTCTGATTGGCACATTCGAGAATACTGTCATGTACCATACCCAAAGTGCTTTACTTGAAGAGAGCAATATCCATGGAGAAAAGCCACCAGAAAAGTTCCATAATGCACTTTTCATTTCACACTCATGATAAGCCACCTTTGTGGCCATAGCTGCCCTGCGGTGGACTGACAGAAGTGTCTCAATCATTAGCCCCTCCAACCACCACCAACTCTCACGTACTTACTTTCATGTAGTCATTATTTTACCAATTTCAGTTTTTTTTTGGATTCTAAAGATTAATATTTGCTCACCACATGTCCATTTTTACACTATGAAACAAAGTGGCCAACAGTGACTAGTAAATGGTCACTTTGGATCCAAACATAATATAGGGGAGCCCATATCCTGGAATCACTATCTGATCCGGCTGGGCAGGATGTTGCTCCAGGTGACAATGAATATATCACTTCACGGTCACTGTTGTTTCGAAACCACGTGGCTTCATTATATTTAAAAAGATATTAAAACTCATGACCAAGAATCAGTAACGGCAAGTGTGTGCGTGTTGAAATGGAATCAAAATGGCAATTTGAATTGTTGCAATGAATAAATCAGTGCATAAGTTGCACTTAAGAGGTTCTGCATTAGATAAATCGACAGAACTTCAGTCTTCAGTCACAAATCGAATAAATCTAAATCAGGTAGTCCAGTGGTCTGGACGTCCAGTAGTTTATGTGACTTTGCAGTGTCTTTTTTTTTTTTTTTTTAAATACAGTTTTTATACAGTTGGTCCTTGTTTTGAAGGTCTTTTTTTCTGTTCTTTTTCCATATTATCATACAGTAGACTGAATTATTTTTTTATTAATGCAGTGTAGAGAGTTGTCGGCGAAACACAAAGAACATTTACATTCAACTAAAGTAAA